AGATACATTAAAACTAAACACACAACACACTCTGTAACCACACAAACACACACTCTGTAAACACACAAACACACACAGACACACACACACATACACAGAGACACACACACTCTGTAAACACAAACACACACACAGAGACACACGCACACACTCTGTAAACACACACACACACTGTAAACACACAAACACACACACAGAGACACACGCACACACTCTGTAAACACACACACACACTCTGTAAACACACACACACACACTGTAAACACACACACACAGACACAAACAGACACACACACTGTAAACACACACACACACAGACACAAACAGACACACACTCTGTAAACACACACACACACAGACACAAACAGACACACACACACATACACTCTGTAAACACACACACACACAGACACAAACAGACACACACACACATACACTCTGTAAACACACACACACACACACAGTCTGTAAACACACAAACACACACACAGAGACACACGCACACTCTGTAAACACACACACACACTGTAAACACACAAACACACAGACAGAGACACACGCACACACTCTGTAAACACACACACACACACACACTGTAAACACACACACAGAGACACAGACACTCTGTAAACACACACACTGTAAACACACACACACACAGACACAAACAGACACACACTCTGTAAACACACACACACACAGACACAAACAGACACACACTGTAAACACACACACACTGTAAACACACACACACAAACAGACACACACACTTACTAAAATGACGTTATCCTGATCTCATCCTCCTCCTCGTCCATTGAACCAGCTCCAAAAGCTCAGAATCCGTTGTTTAAATGATAAAAAGTAGAGTTTCTCTGGTTGTGTGGCTGTTGTGTGTTTGGTTGTGTGTCTAGTTGTGTGTCTGCGACTGAGTTTTTTTATTGGTAACGTGAGGCAAAATGTTCCCAGCTTAGAGCAGAGTGACAAGGCACCGCTGGAGACGGATTTACACATGGCATCTGGGTTAGAGGGATCAAACTCATTCACACACACACACACACACACATACACACAGAGAGACACAATGAGAGAGAGAGACACAGAGAGAGACACACACACAGAGACACAGAGAGACACAATGAGAGAGAGAGACACACACAGAGACACACACAGAGAGACAAAGACACAGAGAGAGACACACACAGAGACACACACAGAGAGACACAATGAGAGAGAGAGACACACACAGAGACACACACAGAGAGACACAATGAGAGAGAGAGACACACACAGAGACACACACACAGAGACACAGAGAGAGACACACAGAGACACACACAGAGAGACAGAGACAGAGAGAGACACACACAGAGAGAGACACACACACAGAGAGACACAATGAGAGAGAGAGACACACACAGAGACACACACAGAGAGACAAAGACACAGAGAGAGACACACACAGAGACACACACAGAGACACACACAGAGAGACACAATGAGAGAGAGAGACACACACAGAGACACACACAGAGAGATACAGAGACACACAGAGAGATACAGAGACACAGAGAGAGACACACAGAGAGACACACACATAAGTTTAAGTTTATTAAGGACATAACATAAATACAAACATATAAACAAACACACATACACAATAACAATTTACAGCTAATTAAATATGAGAAAAGTTAATTAAACAAACAAAATAAATACAAATAAAGATAAAACAAAAAAAATGAAACAAATGCTCCTTCGCACGCCACTCCTCGCCTCTGCTAAAATTAAACATTTATAAAAGGACAAAGTAAAACTATTAATAATGACAAAAAACACAGAACATTAGTGACATAAACAAGCAGTTTCAAGAAACCTAAATAATTCAAACTTAATAATAATAATAATGCATCGGTTTTATATAGCGCTTTTTTGGACTCTCAAAGTCTCTTCACATGTCATTATCCTTTCACTCCAAACACGGTGGTGATAAACTACTACTGTAGCCACAGCTGCCCTGGGGCACACTGACAGAAGCGAGGCAACCAGTCTGTGCCATCGGCCCCTCCCACCACCACCAACCATTCACACACACACCAGACTCATTCTAGGCAATGGGGGTAAAGTGTCTTGCCTAAGGACACAACGGCAGTTTGGCACTTTACAGCCACAGCCGCCCCACTGTGGCACCTGGTGTTCCCAGAGGTTAAGTGTCTTGCCCAAGGACACAACGACAGCAGTCAGTGGGAGTCGATGGTGAAAGTCTTGAGCGGGGCTTGAACCCACGACCTTCTGGCTCAAAGGCCAACGCTCTACCAACTGAGCTACTGCCGCCCAGTAAATGAACCAAAGACAGAATGGACCGTATGATGTGGGGAGTTTATTCCAGTCTGAGGGAGCCTTTACTGAAATGACCTACGACCTCTTGGAACAGAAAAGGTGAGACAATCAGAGCTTTGGACTGAAAAAGGTGTAGGGACAGGGACAAAAAACTGTTTTAAATATTGTGGGCAACTAAAATGAATACATTTAAATAATAAGTACATACAGTGAAGGTGACGTCTGTTGTGAGGCTGAAGCCAGTGAAGGGTCTCGTACAGAGACACACACAGACACACACAGAGAGAGAGACACACACAGACACACACAGAGAGAGAGAGACACACACAGACACACACAGAGAGAGAGAGAGAGACACACACACACAGAGAGAGAGAGACACACACACAGAGAGAGAGAGACACACACACACAGAAAGAGAGACACACACACAGAGAGAGAGAGAGAGACACACACACACACACACACAGAGAGAGAGAGACACACACACACAGAGAGAGAGAGACACACACACAGAGAGAGAGAGAGACACACACACAGAGAGAGAGAGACACACACACAGAGAGAGAGAGAGAGACACACACACAGAGAGAGAGAGAGAGACACACACACAGAGAGAGACACAGAGAGAGAGATAGAGAGAGACACACACACAGAGAGAGAGAGAGACACACACACAGAGAGAGAGAGAGAGACACACACACACAGAGAGAGAGACACACACACAGAGAGAGAGAGAGACACACACACACACAGAGAGAGAGAGAGAGACACACACACAGAGAGAGAGACACACACAGAGAGAGAGAGAGACACACACACAGAGAGAGAGACACACACACAGAGAGAGAGACAGACACACAGAGAGAGAGAGACACACAGACACACAGAGAGAGAGAGAGAGAGACACAGAGAGAGAGAGAGAGACACACACACAGAGAGAGAGAGAGACACACACACACACAGAGAGAGAGAGACACACACACACAGAGAGAGAGAGACACACAGACAGAGAGAGAGAGACACACAGACAGAGACACACACACAGAGAGAGAGAGAGAGACACACACAGAGAGAGAGAGAGACACACAGACAGAGACACACACACAGAGAGAGAGAGAGACACACAGACAGAGAGAGAGAGAGACACACACACACACAGAGAGAGAGAGACACACAGACAGAGACACACACACAGAGAGAGAGAGAGAGACACACACACACAGAGAGAGAGAGACAGAGACACACACACAGAGAGAGACACAGAGAGAGAGAGACAGAGACACACAGAGAGATAGAGAGACACAGAGAGAGAGAGAGAGAGACACACAGAGAGAGAGAGAGAGACACACAGAGAGAGAGAGAGACACACACACACACAGAGAGAGAGAGACACACACACACAGAGAGAGAGAGAGACACACACAGAGAGATAGAGACACACAGAGAGAGAACTGTAACTGTAAAATACTGTAATATAATATAATAGTAAGGTCTCACTGAGGAGGAAATAAAGACCGTCTACAGCCTCAGTCCTGGGTCTACAGCCTCGGTCCTGGGTCTACAGCCTCAGTCCTGGGTCTACAGCCTCAGTCCTGGGTCTACAGCCTCAGTCCTGGGTCTACAGCCTCGGTCCTGGGTCTACAGCCTCGGTCCTGGGTCTACAGCCTCGGTCCTGGGTCTACAGCCTCGGTCCTAGGTCTACAGCCTCGGTCCTGGGTCTACAGCCTCGGTCCTGGGTCTACAGCCTCGGTCCTGGGTCTACAGCCTCAGTCCTGGGTCTACAGCCTCGGTCCTGGGTCTGCAGCATCAGTCCTGGGTCTGCAGCCTCGGTGCTGGGTCTACAGCCTCAGTCCTGGGTCTACAGCCTCAGTCCTGGGTCTACAGCCTCAGTCCTGGGTCTACAGCCTCAGTCCTGGGTCTGCAGCCTCGGTCCTGGGTCTACAGCCTCAGTTCTCAGTCTACAGCCTCGGTCCTGGGTCTGCAGTGGGGCTGAAACAACTAATCGATTAATCGACGACTAATCGATTATTGAAATAATCGACAACTATTTTAGTAATCGATTAATCTTTTTCTGGTTCACACGGACTCAAACAGAGCAAAAATGACATGAAAATGTAGTATTTTTGATTAAAACAGACTTTGTTTTTATAATTTCATGAATATCTGTGTCTCATCCAATCAGAGCAGAATTAGCACAAAGAGCCTGTTACATTTACTTTAAGTTTACGCCTCAATACGTCCTCGAGTGTTGCCACTTTAGCTTTTTGTGATGAAATTGTTTTTTTTTTCTACACAATTCACAGCCAAGCGATTACTCGATTAATCGTAAAAATAATTGATAGATTAATCGATTACAAAATAATCGTTAGTTGCAGCTCTAATCTGCAGGTCCTCAGTTGTTCTCACACACAAAAGCATGTATTGAGTCCCTACATGACTCTTTGGCCTGATCTAAACAGATGTGAAAACTAGAACTGAACTGTTTTAGAGCCAAGTGAAGGACATGATTTACATCGTTTCATTGTCGGATTTGAAAGCACCACAAATAAGATCATTTCTACACAAGGGACAGAGAACACATCTGTTCATCTGGTTGTAAAGTAGTATATAGTTTATTGTGCTTTATAATACGGTACGAACTGCCACAGACACTTATGTACTTACCCTTCATTGCCCAGAAAGGACGTCTCCTTCCAAACCATCTTGTCCTCGCCGGCTCCTGTAGCGTCCTGCTCCAGAGGCTGGTTCCATGTGGACAGAGGCTGGTTCCATGTGGACAGAGGCTGGTTCCATGTGGACAGAGGCGTCAGAATCTGCTCCGAACTAATGGAAGTAATTTCTGAGCTGGGAAATATGGACGAGGACCACGAGGAGTTGGAGGAGCCAGAGGGACTGTCCAACCTCACCTCTCGCAAGCCCTTGAAGTCCTGATTACAAGACAGGGATGAGAATCTGGGGTAAAAACAGGAGAAGAGAGACGCATGGCGAGCTAACGCTGAGAAAGGCTTCGTCGGTGACGACAAATCTGGTGAAGAAAAAGACAGAGACGTCTTGATTGAACCGAAGTTAAACATTGGACATGACAGTTGGACACGCTCAGAAGAGACTGAGAGAATATACTTATTAGTTTGAAGATATGGACGGTACAGCCAATCAAAGTTTAAGAAAGTCTGTAGAGTGGACCAATCAAATTTGAGCTAAGAGTGCATTCAAATAGGCTAAAAGCTTCATGTACAGAGACACTTATGGAGGTGGTAGCGGACATCAGATTATTGCACTTTTCAAGACCACAATTGGATAAAGGGGAAACAGGTAATCGATGTGGAGAGGCGTGAGGCAGCGTGAGGCAGCGTGAGGCGGCGAAAGGCAGCGTGGACAGTAAAGTGTGTGATACGGTCTGCAGCGGAGGATCGGGTTGCAGTGATAAGGAGTTCATGACACTAATAACATTAGGACTAACAGCTAAAACCACTTAGTGGCCAGAGATACAGCTGGTGATAGACAGGAATATGGGAGACAGTATTACAGCTTCATCATGTGTCAATGGGGAAAGAATGAGACCAAGAACAATACAATAGTCACGTCTTCTTAAACAGAGGACTTTAAATGCAGCAGTCGAGTCGAGCCGGGTCAAAAACATTTAGCAGTTAAAGTTGGGGTACCGAGCTTTCAAACCCCAAAACATGAAACTATGCAGTAAAATCTCCGCAGCCTTTCTCTGCAGTTTGGTTCTAGTTTCCACATGTATCGTGGTATTTTTGACTCTGCCTGAAGTGTCAAATAGTGACTCCCTAACCCAGGAGGTGGAGCAGACCTGGGTGTTGACGATGGAATGTGTGATGGAGGAGGTGGAGCAGACCTAGGTGTTGACGATGGAGTGTGTGATGGAGGAGGAGGTGGAGCAGACCTGGGTGTTGACGATGGAGTGTGTGATGGAGGAGGAGGTGGAGCAGACCTGGGTGTTGACGATGGAGTGTGTGATGGTGGAGGAGGTGGAGCAGACCTGGGTGTTGACGATGGAGTGTGTGATGGAGGAGGTGGAGCAGACCTGGGTGTTGACGATGGAGTGTGTGATGGTGGAGGAGGTGGAGCAGACCTGGGTGTTGACGGTGGAGTGTGTGATGGTGGAGGAGGTGGAGCAGACCTGGGTGTTGACGATGGAGTGTGTGATGGTGGAGGAGGTGGAGCAGACCTGGGTGTTGACGGTGGAGTGTGTGATGGTGGAGGAGGTGGAGCAGACCTGGGTGTTGACGATGGAGTGTGTGATGGAGGAGGAGGTGGAGCAGACCTGGGTGTTGACGGTGGAGTGTGTGATGGTGGAGGAGGTGGAGCAGACCTGGGTGTTGACGATGGAGTGTGTGATGGAGGAGGAGGTGGAGCAGACCTGGGTGTTGACGATGGAGTGTGTGATGGAGGAGGAGGTGGAGCAGACCTGGGTGTTGACGATGGAGTGTGTGATGGAGGAGGAGGTGGAGGAGGTGGAGCAGACCTGGGTGTTGACGATGGAGTGTGTGATGGTGGAGGAGGTGGAGGAGGTGGAGCAGACCTGGGTGTTGACGATGGAGTGTGTGATGGAGGAGGTGGAGGAGGTGGAGCAGACCTGGGTGTTGACGATGGAGTGTGTGATGGAGGAGGAGGTGGAGCAGACCTGGGTGTTGACGATGGAGTGTGTGATGGAGGAGGTGGAGCAGACCTGGGTGTTGACGATGGAGTGTGTGATGGAGGAGGAGGTGGAGCAGACCTGGGTGTTGACGATGGAGTGTGTGATGGAGGAGGAGGTGGAGCAGACCTGGGTGTTGACGATGGAGTGTGTGATGGAGGAGGAGGTGGAGCAGACCTGGGTGTTGACGATGGTGTGTGTGATGGTGGAGGAGGTGGAGGAGGTGGAGCAGACCTGGGTGTTGACGATGGAGTGTGTGATGGAGGAGGAGGTGGAGCAGACCTGGGTGTTGACGATGGTGTGTGTGATGGTGGAGGAGGTGGAGCAGACCTGGGTGTTGACGATGGAGTGTGTGATGGTGGAGAAGGTGGAGGAGGTGGAGCAGACCTGGGTGTTGACGATGGAGTGTGTGATGGTGGAGGAGGTGGAGCAGACCTGGGTGTTGACGATGGAGTGTGTGATGGTGGAGGAGGTGGAGGAGGTGGAGCAGACCTGGGTGTTGACGATGGAGTGTGTGATGGAGGAGGAGGTGGAGCAGACCTGGGTGTTGACGATGGAGTGTGTGATGGAGGAGGTGGAGCAGACCTGGGTGTTGACGATGGAGTGTGTGATGGAGGAGGTGGAGCAGACCTGGGTGTTGACGATGGAGTGTGTGATGGTGGAGGAGGTGGAGCAGACCTGGGTGTTGACGATGGAGTGTGTGATGGAGGAGGAGGTGGAGCAGACCTGGGTGTTGACGATGGAGTGTGTGATGGAGGAGGAGGTGGAGCAGACCTGGGTGTTGACGATGGAGTGTGTGATGGAGGAGGAGGCGGAGCAGACCTGGGTGTTGACGATGGAGTGTGTGATGGTGGAGGTGGAGCAGACCTGGGTGTTGACGATGGAGTGTGTGATGGAGGAGGAGGCGGAGCAGACCTGGGTGTTGACGATGGTGTGTGTGATGGTGGAGGAGGTGGAGCAGACCTGGGTGTTGACGATGGTGGAGGAGGTGGAGCAGACCTGGGTGTTGACGATGGAGTGTGTGATGGAGGAGGAGGTGGAGCAGACCTGGGTGTTGACGATGGAGTGTGTGATGGTGGAGAAGGTGGAGGAGGTGGAGCAGACCTGGGTGTTGACGATGGAGTGTGTGATGGAGGAGGTGGAGCAGACCTGGGTGTTGACGATGGAGTGTGTGATGGTGGAGAAGGTGGAGGAGGTGGAGCAGACCTGGGTGTTGACGATGGAGTGTGTGATGGAGGAGGTGGAGCAGACCTGGGTGTTGACGATGGTGGAGGAGGTGGAGCAGACCTGGGTGTTGACGATGGTGGAGGAGGTGGGAGATTCAGAACACTGTAGATCTTATCCTAACATTGTGCTTTTAGAACGTGTTCATTTCTAAACTCGCAGCTCAGAGGAAGTGGACTTTTCTTGCATCAACAGGAAGAAAAGTCTTAATTTGATTTCATTCACCCGAGAAAAGTGCCGGCTTCCCCCGGGCGCCAGCGCTTCCTGAGTGAGGAGTGGACTCTAGCTCAAAAACAACTTTAAATGGATTCAGTGAAGACGGTTACGGCTGCTTTTCTTCTGTTCATTCTTCATTAGTGCCTCGTTATTAGTAACAGTCTTTACAGTCAAACAGAACTATAGCAGACTGTTCTGGTACAGCACTGAACACAAACAAACACCTTTAACGTCACAAGAGCAGGATGCAATCAACATGCAGCACCTTGAAACTAAAATATTTTTATTGACAAAAATACTCTTAAAACTAAGTCAGTGAAATAACATGTTCCCAAAACTTTCCTATTCAAGTGATTGATATTCACACATTCATAAGCACAAGGAACTTAGAGTTTATCGATCTCTATTGTTAGTTGTACAATTATACCATGAGTAACAATTATAATTAAATAGATCTTACGACACAAAACATGCTTTGGAAATTGAACAAAGTTAAAAAATATAGCATTTATAGTTTAAATAATAAATGCTTGGAAAATGGAAAAGCCTTTAGTGAAGGAAGCTAAGTGTTTGCTAGCCTAGCCTAAGAGCCACTATCAGAGCAATCCCGATTAATTTGTTAAATTGTTCCTTATTGTCGCCTTCGAGATCACGCTCGCACGTCCAGAGGCCGAGGTCCAAACAAAGACAGTATCGTAGAAGTCGTAGCGTCGTCCTTCGATCCAGTTTTGTTGTCATCGTTGTAGACATTTCCCAAAAAGTCAACAAGAGAAACAAGCCAGAGAGGAACGCAGCGACACATCCAGCTCTCAGAGACATTTGGGTCCAAGCATCATGGACAGTGGAGACAACAGAGTAGAGTTAAACAAATGCTTCAGTAAATGGGTCGGGGTTGCTTCATGCTGTAGTGAGCCTCAGAGGCCGACACATACGCAGACTCCGGGAAAAAGTCCTCATGGAACTCTGCCAGAAACCTACCAGACCAGAGGGGAGGGGGGGGGGGGGTAAGAGCAGGGGGAGGGGGGGAGAGCATGTACATGTGTTATTAAGGCTCCTAACAAAATAATATCTGGTCATCATCAGTCATCAGTCATCAATATAGCGCAATACTTCCTCCTGTGATTCAATTATCGATATTTTTTTTTTACAAATGACTTTATTTTTGTATTCATTATATAGTCAATAATATAAAAGGTTCCAAGTTCTCTGATTGTGTGAACGCCTTTGATTGAATCAAACTGAAACAAATTAAAACAAGGAAACATAATAAAATGTTAGAGTATATTATATATTTGTAATTAGAGATGCATCGATCCAGCTTTTTTACTACCGATACCGATATTGACAGATACCGGAAATGATCATTCTAAAATGTATTTAATAATGTAACTCTTTGTTCAAGTAACTGCAAAAGCAGTGGATGAACTAAAGCTAAACTTTCCTGATAAAAATGGATTCAACATAAATGTGCAACACTGCAACTATAAAGAGCTGCTCAATGTTCACATTAAACATTCAACTCTGTATTAGACCTTTTACGTTTACTGAATATAAATGTACTTATATTAACTGTGTTTGAATAAAAAAACACAACAAACAAAACACGCTGCATGAAAATGTAAATAAATAATAGTACCGTAGCTTTAAGTGGATTTCAGATATGTATTTGGCGACGGCATGGACCTGGGTTCAGAATGGTCTATGGGGCTGCGAGCCCATGATGAACTCCAACACTTTGGGGTTGTTGCTGAATAGCTTTTTGTGACGCTGCGTCAGTGTCATCTGTGTCTCGTTGTTTTCACGTAATCTCCGTTCGATGCAGAAACGTGCTGTTTCTCGTGGGTCTTAGTCGTGTTGTATTTCTCTGGTTTACCGCCGCGTGAACAACGCTCTGTCCTGCTCCACGCTGTGTTGTTGTTGTTGTAGAGCGCCACGAGGAAGTGTCACATCTGATACATTACTTTTAATTCATTCATTTTATACGTATATGTACATTATGCACAATGTATTTTAAGACATTGTGCGGTACCTGGTATGTATTAAAAAATATATATATAATTTTTTTTTAAAGAAAAGAAAATGGATCGGCAGCACGGCGCCTCTCTCTACGCAGATATCCGATCCAGTATTTTTTCTGGTATCGGCGCCGATATCGATACCAGTATCGGATCGGTGCATCCCTATTTGTAATTTCCAGGTTACTGCACGTTTCAGAAAATGATGTGGATCAAAATTAAAACATTTCAATCGGAACAATAAGGAACAATTTACCGAATCAAACGCTCTTTTTGTCAAGTTTAAAGCTTTCAAGGCCTTGAGTCTGGTCCATGATTTCTTAGGTTCGGGTTCTGGTAAAGGTAAAAGTGCACTTTATTCATCCTCTGCATTTGACCCTGATGCCCTAAGGCTGACGTCAGGAGCAGTGGTCGCCGTAGTAACAGCGCCCAGGAACCATCTCCAGATGTTGATGCTGGAGGATTTAACCTAGTGTGCATGTTTTTAGTGGTAGGGGTAACTGGAGCGCCCGCAGGAAACCTACGCAAGCATGCGGAGAACATGCAAACTCCACTCAGAAAGACCCCTTTCCGACCGGCATTCGAACCCAGGACCTTCTTGCTGAGAGGTGAGAGTGCTAACCACTCAGCCACTGTGCTGTCCTGGATCCACAGTATGAAACCCTCTGGAGCAGTGTATGAGGGATGTATGGATCATGTGCATGTCCCGCCCCCTGACCCTCCTGCCCCGCCCCCTGACCCCTCACAACGCAGCCCCACCACGCCCCGCCCCCGCTCAGTCTAATCAGTAGTGAGGACAAACTAATCCTGGATCTTCTTAGTATCCGCAACTGGGACAAATCCGCTAAATCTTGCCATCTCATCTTAGCTCCACCGCTCTTCCTAATCTCAATGCAAACAAACTTCACCATGCAGACACCATCAACGACTGCAGACACCATCAACGACTGCAGACACCATCAACGACTGCAGACACCATCGCCCTCTGCAGACACCATCAACGACTGCAGACACCATCAACGACTGCAAACACCATCGCCCTCTGCAGACACCATCAACGACTGCAGACACCATCGCCCTCTGCAGACACAAACGACTGCAGACACCATCGCCCTCTGCAGACACAAACGACTGCAGACACCATCGCCCTCTGTGACCATGGAGTGCAGACACCATCGGCCTCTGCAGACACCATCACCCTCTGTGACCATGGACTGCAGACACCATCACCCTCTGTGACCATGGACTGCAGACACCATCACCCTCTGTGACCATGGACTGCAGACACCATCGGCCTCTGCAGACACCATCGCCCTCTGTGCCCATGGACTGCAGACACCATCGGCCTCTGCAGACACCATCGCCCTCTGTGCCCATGGACTGCAGACACCATCGGCCTCTGCAGACACCATCGCCCTCTGTGACCATGGACTGCAGACACCATCGGCCTCTGCAGACACCATCGCCCTCTGTGACCATGGACTGCAGACACCATCGGCCTCTGCAGACACCATCGCCCTCTGTGACCATGGACTGCAGACACCATCGGCCTCTGCAGACACCATCGCCCTCTGTGACCATGGACTGCAGACACCATCGGCCTCTGCAGACACCATCGCCCTCTGTGACCATGGACTGCAGACACCATCGGCCTCTGCAGACACCATCGCCCTCTGTGACCATGGACTGCAGACACCATCACCTTCTGGGACCATGGACTGCAGACACCATCACCTTCTGGGACCATGGACTGCAGACACCATCGGCCTCTGCAGACACCATCGGCCTCTGCAGACACCATCACCCTCTGTGACCATGGACTGCAGACACCATCGGCCTCTGCAGACACCATCACCCTCTGTGACCATGGACTGCAGACACCATCGGCCTCTGCAGACACCATCACCTTCTGTGACCATGGACTGCAGACACCATCACCTTCTGGGACCATGGACTGCAGACACCATCGGCCTCTGCAGACACCATCGGCCTCTGCAGACACCATCACCCTCTGTGACCATGGACTGCAGACACCATCGGCCTCTGCAGACACCATCACCCTCTGTGACCATGGACTGCAGACACCATCGGCCTCTGCAGACACCATCACCTTCTGTGACCATGGACTGCAGACACCATCACCTTCTGGGACCATGGACTGCAGACACCATCGGCCTCTGCAGACACCATCGGCCTCTGCAGACACCATCACCCTCTGTGACCATGGACTGCAGACACCATCGGCCTCTGTGACCATGGACTGCAGACACCATCGGCCTCTGCAGACACCATCACCCTCTGTGACCATGGACTGCAGACACCATCACCTTCTGTGACCATGGACTGCAGACACCATCACCTTCTGTGACCATGGACTGCAGACACCATCGGCCTCTGCAGTCACCATCGGCCTCTGCAGACACCATCGGCCTCTGTGACCATGGACTGCAGACACCATCGGCCTCTGTGACCATGGACTGCAGACACCATCGGCCTCTGTGACCATGGACTGCAGACACCATCGGCCTCTGCAGACACCATCGGCCTCTGCAGACACCATCGGCCTCTGCAGACACCATCGGCCTCTGCAGACACCATCGGGCCTCTGTGACCATGGATCCATAAAGTTCATTATGAACTGAAATGCAACATAACTTAGTAATAAATTAACTTTAGAGACTGCTTAAATATAAAGAATGAGGTTTCATTAAAAGTGAATCCAGTAAAAAACATTTCAAAATCAAAAACATGAAACTAAAACATTTTGAGGAATTTATCGCCATCATGTCATGAATATGTTAATGATAAATAATAATAAATAAAGTCACCTGAATACAACAACTTAGATGCAGTAGTGTCAGTTAGAGATGCAGTAGTGTCAGTTAGAGATGCAGTAGTGTCAGAGATGCAGTAGTGTCAGTTAGAGATGCAGTAGTGTCAGTTAGAGATGCAGTAGTGTCAGTTAGAGATGCAGTAGTGTCAGTTAGAGATGCAGTAGTGTCAGTTAGAGATGCAGTAGTGTCAGTTAGAGATGCAGTAGTGTCAGTTAGAGATGCAGTAGTGTCAGTGAGAGATGCAGTAGTGTCAGTTAGAGATGCAGTAGTGTCAGTTAGAGATGCAGTAGTGTCAGTTAGAGATGCAGTAGTGTCAGTTAGAGATGCAGTAGTGTCAGTTAGAGATGCAGTAGTGTCAGTTAGAGATGCAGTAGTGTATGTGAGGTTAGCATGTGACATTAGCATGTAATGAAAGTGACTCTTCAGTCTCACAGTACTGATCTCAGTTTCAGCAACACACGTTCTGTCACTGACACCCTGTTCCACAGCGCGGCCTGGTGGTCAGTGGTGGTACTGCACATGTTTGATTAAAGGCTGTGGACCTAAATCCCTGCGTTTGGGACTGAACTGAAGATCGCTGCGGAGGATTTAGAGATTAGACGCGAGCTTGTGTAACACTCATCACTGCACACGGACACATGCTCCTCTCTCTCTCCCTGGTCTCTCTCTCTCTGGGGCCGTCTCTCCCTCTCTCTCTGGGGCCGTCTCTCCCTCCCTCTCTGGGGCCGTCTCTCCCTCTCTCTCTGGGGCCGTCTCACCCTCTCTCTCTGGGGCCGTCTCACCCTCTCTCTCTGGGGCCGTCTCACCCTCTCTCTCTGGGGCCGTCTCACCCTCTCTCTCTGGGGCCGTCTCACCCTCTCTCTCTGGGGCCGTCTCACCCTCTCTCTCTGGGGCCGTCTCACCCTCTCTCTCTGGGGCCGTCTCTCCCTCTCTCTCTGGGGCCGTCTCTCCCTCCCTCTCTGGGGCCGTCTCACCCTCTCTCTCTGGGGCCGTCTCACCCTCTCTCTCTGGGGCCGTCTCACCCTCTCTCTCTGGGGCCGTCTCACCCTCTCTCTCTGGGGCCGTCTCTCCCTCTCTCTCTGGGGCCGTCTCTCCCTCCCTCTCTGGGGCCGTCTCTCCCTCCCTCTCTCTCTGGGGCCGTCTCTCCCTCCCTCTCTCTCTGGGGCCGTCTCACCCTCTCTCTCTGGGGCCGTCTCACCCTCTCTCTCTGGGGCCGTCTCTCCCTCTCTCTCTGGGGCCGTCTCTGGGGCCGTCTCACCCTCTCTCTCTGGGGCCGTCTCACCCTCTCTCTCTGGGGCCGTCTCTGGGGCCGTCTCTCCCTCTCTGGTATGAAACTATTGTAGAAGGGATGTACCAAAACGTGTCTTTTTCAAATAAAAAGATAAGCGGCACGGTGGCCGAGTGGTTAGCACTCTCGCTTCTCAGCAAGAATGTCCTGGGTTCGAATCCCGGTCGGAACAGGGTCGTTCTGAGTGGAGTTTGAATGTTCTCCCTGCGTCTGCATAAGTTTTCTCTACCACTAAAAACATAGGTCTGTGCCTCCTGTACTGGCCCCTCCCATCTCTGTGTGGAGTCAGAGACTAATGCCCAAAAATAACAATTGTAAACCGCTTTGTGACTCTGGTATGTGAAAGTTGCTATATAAATAAACTTTACTTACTACTAATACTATTTACTATAAAAATGGATTTAGTTTTTACCTGAGAAACTGCTCCAAGTGTTTGATGAGCGCCCTCAGATTCCTCTCTGGGATCTGCATCTTTCCGAGGATGTCCGGAAGTTTGACTGTTCACAGAATATAGTCAGATCAATGACCTTATATTATAAAATACCATTACAATAAAGCTCAAAACCAACCAAAAAGCCGGAGCAGATGCTGTGATCCATAGAGATACGATGGAGGAGGAGGCTGGTCGGTCATGGGGTAATTATCAGGAGTCAACTTCCAGCTCAACACCTGCAGCAGTTATTATTATTATCATTATTATCATCATAATTATTCTTCAGGAACATGTTACAGACGTCGAGCCATCTCTAAACCTGACTGCTAGTTTCCACAGGAGGCGTTACAGCACGTACACGTTATACGCGCAAAAGACACGCGTAACATTATTCCATGTTAACCAATGGGGATCTTTACACTAGTGTTATGTATGAAGGACGTATGACGCGAGGCTGCGCCTAATTTAGGATGGATTTCTAATTTTGTGCGTGCAGCAACGCGTCTCCCAGTCAAAACATAATTCTAGCGGCCCTTGGCTTTACATCCATCCACACACACGCACGCACGCTGGAGCATCAGGTTTTACAGTGATTCTGGACATTTTTTTTTTTTTTCCATTCATAAAGTCTAGCGTCTGGCCAAACCAGCGCACAGAGACCATGAAGACAAACACGTGCATGTGATCTGTGTTGCTCTACATCAGTCCTCTGTACTGTCCTCTACACTGCTCCATAGACTACACAGGGACAGCATCAGTCTCTGTACTGTCCTCTACACTGCTCCATAGACTACACAGGGACAGCATCAGTCTCTGTACTGTCCTCTACACTGCTCCATAGACTACACAGGGACAGCATCAGTCTCTGTACTGTCCTCTACACTGCTCCATAGACTACACAGGGACAGCATCAGTCTCTGTACTGTCCTCTACACTGCTCCATAGACTACACAGGGACAGCATCAGTCTCTGTACTGTCCTCTACACTGCTCCATAGACTACACAGGGACAGCATCAGTCTCTGTACTGTCCTCTACACTGCTCCATAGACTACACAGGGACAGCATCAGTCTCTGTACTGTCCTCTACACTGCTCCATAGACTACACAGGGACAGCATCAGTCTCTGTACTGTCCTCTACACTGCTCCATAGACTACACAGGGACAGCATCAGTCTCTGTACTGTCCTCTACACTGCTCCATAGACTACACAGGGACAGCATCAGTCTCTGTACTGTCCTCTACACTGCTCCATAGACTACACAGGGACAGCATCAGTCTCTGTACTGTCCTCTACACTGCTCCATAGACTACACAGGGACAGCATCAGTCTCTGTACTGTCCTCTACACTGCTCCATAGACTACACAGGGACAGCATCAGTCTCTGTACTGTCCTCTACACTGCTCCATAGACTACACAGAGACAGCATCAGTCTCTGTACTGTCCTCTACACTGCTCCATAGACTACACAGGGACAGCATCAGTCTCTGTACTGTCCTCTGCACTGCTCCATAGACTACACAGGGACAGCATCAGTCTCTGTACTGTCCTCTACACTGCTCCATAGACTACACAGGGACAGCATCAGTCTCTGTACTGTCCTCTACACTGCTCCATAGACTACACAGGGACAGCATCAGTCTCTGTACTGTCCTCTACACTGCTCCATAGACTACACAGGGACAGCATCAGTCTCTGTACTGTCCTCTACACTGCTCCATAGACTACACAGGGACAGCATCAGTCTCTGTACTGTCCTCTACACTGCTCCATAGACTACACAGGGACAGCATCAGTCTCTGTACTGTCCTCTACACTGCTCCATAGACTACACAGGGACAGCATCAGTCTCTGTACTGTCCTCTACACTGCTCCATAGACTACACAGGGACAGCATCAGTCTCTGTACTGTCCTCTGCACTGCTCCATAGACTACACAGGGACAGCATCAGTCTCTGTACTGTCCTCTACACTGCTCCATAGACTACACAGGGACAGCATCAGTCTCTGTACTGTCCTCTACACTGCTCCATAGACTACACAGGGACAGCATCAGTCTCTGTACTGTCCTCTACACTGCTCCATAGACTACACAGGGACAGCATCAGTCTCTGTACTGTCCTCTACACTGCTCCATAGACTACACAGGGACAGCATCAGTCTCTGTACTGTCCTCTACACTGCTCCATAGACTACACAGGGACAGCATCAGTCTCTGGACTGTCCTCTGCACTGCTCCACAGACTACACAGGGACAGCATCAGTCTCTGTACTGTCCTCTACACTGCTCCATAGACTACACAGGGACAGCATCAGTCTCTGTACTGTCCTCTACACTGCTCCATAGACTACACAGGGACAGCATCAGTCTCTGTACTGTCCTCTACACTGCTCCATAGACTACACAGGGAGAGCATCAGAAGCCAGTGGACATGCAGCAGAGTAATGTTACGCACACATACAGCAGAGTAATGTTACGCACACATACAGCAGAGTAATGTTACGCACACATACAGCAGAGTAATGTTACGCACACATACAGCAGAGTAATGTTACGCACACATGCAGCAGAGTAATGTTACGCACACATGCAGCAGAGTAATGTTACGCACACATACAGCAGAGTAATGTTACGCACACATACAGCAGAGTAATGTTACGCACACATGCGCGCTGTTAACGCCTACAGTGTAAATTAGCTGTGAGACTACAGTTATCCAAGAACATGTGGGAGAATGTAATGTCTTTGAAGCCTTAGAGCTCGTCATTATCAAACTGAATACTTTTTACGAGAGTTCAGATTTAATGCAGGAGAGCGTGTTGGAATAAAGCCGGACTGACCTGGTCCAATATTAGAACGAAATTATCTAAGTATTTTGTCTTCACTCATTCAGAGCCTACAGAAAAGACCTCAGGTTTAACATTCAGGGTAATACTGACGCCGCTTAGACTGTGCTCGACTGGGTTAGGCTAGGGTTAGGGCGGCTGTGGCTGCTGTGGCTGCTGTGGCTGCTGTGGCTGCTGTGGCTGCTGTGGCAGCTGTGGCAGCTGTGGCAGCTGTGGCAGCTGTGGCAGCTGTGGCTGCTGTGGCAGCTGTGGCAGCTGTGGCTGCTGTGGCTGCTGTGGCTGCTGTGGCTGCTGTGGCAGCTGTGGCAGCTGTGGCTGCTGTGGCTGCTGTGGCTGCTGTGGCAGCTGTGGCTGCTGTGGCGTAAGGACCTCGTTGAGCTCGTTGTTTCGTCGGCTCTCCAGACCATAGAAGGGGCCGCTGCGCTCTTTGTTCGGTGTCAAGGGCAGTGGGGAGGACGAGCCGCTGTGGACCGGAGTCTCTGGAGGAGCATGGAGCATATCATGATGGGAGATTAGAAGTCAAACAGCAGCTGTGCAGTGAGCTGTAAAGGAGTGGACTGGCACCATCTACTGGTTGGAAAGGGTTACTACAATAATGTTGAATAAAATCATTGTCTAAAAAAGGTTTCAAAACACTAGATCCCTAAATATTCAAAATATTATGTTATTATACATTCTGTTATACATATTATGTCATTATACACTATGTTATTATACAATACATATTATGTTCTTACACATTCAGAATATTATATATTGAGCCGATCTCTTTATGCAGAACAAATAAAAACTTCTGTTGTGACTTACTCCGTTCGAGGTTGAGGAAAAACTTTGGCTGCGCTGGACTCTCAGCGATTCTGCGTTTAGTCTGAGGAGACGCTGTGGCACTGCCCCCTCCTGAAACACATAGTTTAGTACCATGAGCAAGGACCATCACACGGCATAGTACCATGAGCAAGGACCATCACACGGCACAGTACCACAGTCACATAGTACCACAGTCACATACTACAATATTATAGTGTGGTGAACCTGAGCTGTGATAGCCTCCACTGCTGCCCTCTGCTGGACGCTCTCCTCCGGAAGAGTTCCTGGTGGATCGTCTTAAGCTCTGGCTCTGGAAGTTGATGCAGTCGGTGTCTGGGTGCCTCCTGCGTTTGGGGGTGGGGTTGGCAGCAGAAGCAGCAGCAGCAGTGGCGGTGGTGGTGGTGGTGGTGGTGGTGGGTGTGGTGGACACGTCACTGAGCGCAGGCTGACTGTCTGTGGACTGAGGAGTTGGAGGATTGTGAACAGGAGGGCTGGGACTCCTCTCTCTCTGGATGCTGGAAAACAAGAGAAAACACAAATGAAATTGAATGACACTAAGATGATCGCCAGGATTTAAAAAAGAGGAAAAACTATTTGGCATTATATTAGAATGACAATCTACAAATGTTTAAGAACTCCCTTGGAAAAGTTAGTAATGATTCCAATGGGATTATTCTGGCAGACATGTGTAAGTAAGTAATCTTCATTTATATACACCGCCTTTCACAGACCAGAGTCTTAAAGCGGTTTACAATTGTTATTTTTTGGGCAATTGTCCTCACACTCCACAGAGATGGGAGGGGCCAGTACAGGAGGCGCATGCCAGATCTATTGTACATATTTTTAGTGGTAGGGGAAACCGGAGAACCCGGAGGAAACCTACGCAGACACGGGGAGAACATGCAAACTCCATTCAGAAAGGCCCTGAATGGACCCTCAGAACAGACATGTGTGATTCTCCCTATGGACCCTCAGAGCAGACATGTGAGATTCTCCCTATGGACCCTCAGAGCAGACATGTGAGATTCTTCCTATGGACCCTCAGAACAGACATGTGAGATTCTTCCTATGGACCCTCAGAGCAGACATGTGAGATTCTTCCTATGGACCCTCAGAACAGACATGTGAGATTCTTCCTATGGACCCTCAGAGCAGACATGTGTGATTCTTCCTATGGACCCTCAGAGCAGACATGTGAGATTCTCCCTATGGACCCTCAGAGCAGACATGTGAGATTCTCCCTATGGACCCTCAGAGCAGACATGTGAGATTCTCCCTATGGACCCTCAGAGCAGACATGTGTGATTCTCTCTATGGACCCTCAGAGCAGACATGTGAGATTCTTCCTATGGACCCTCAGAGCAGACATGTGAGATTCTTCCTATGGACCCTCAGAGCAGACATGTGAGATTCTCCCTATGGACCCTCAGAGCAGACATGTGAGATTCTCCCTATGGACCCTCAGAGCAGACATGTGAGATTCTCCCTATGGACCCTCAGAGCAGACATGTGAGATTCTTCCTATGGACCCTCAGAGCAGACATGTGTGATTCTCCCTATGGACCCTCAGAGCAGACATGTGAGATTCTTCCTATGGACCCTCAGAGCAGACATGTGTGATTCTCCCTATGGACCCTCAGAGCAGACATGTGTGATTCTCCCTATGGACCCTCAGAGCAGACATGTGAGATTCTCCCTATGGACCCTCAGAGCAGACATGTGAGATTCTTCCTATGGACCCTCAGAGCAGACATGTGAGATTCTCTCTATGGACCCTCAGAGCAGACATGTGAGATTCTCTCTATGGACCCTCAGAGCAGACATGTGAGATTCTTCCTATGGACCCTCAGAGCAGACATGTGAGATTCTTCCTATGGACCCTCAGAGCAGACATGTGAGATTCTTCCTATGGACCCTCAGAGCAGACATGTGAGATTCTCTCTATGGACCCTCAGAGCAGACATGTGAGATTCTCTCTATGGACCCTCAGAGCAGACATGTGTGATTCTCTCTATGGACCCTCAGAGCAGACATGTGAGATTCTTCCTATGGACCCTCAGAGCAGACATGTGAGATTCTTCCTATGGACCCTCAGAACAGACATGTGAGATTCTTCCTATGGACCCTCAGAGCAGACATGTGAGATTCTCCTTATGGACCCTCAGAGCAGACATGTGAGATTCTTCCTATGGACCCTCAGAGCAGACATGTGAGATTCTTCCTATGGACCCTCAGAGCAGACATGTGAGATTCTTCCTATGGACCCTCAGAGCAGACATGTGTGATTCTCTCTATGGACCCTCAGAGCAGACATGTGAGATTCTTCCTATGGACCCTCAGAGCAGACATGTGAGATTCTTCCTATGGACCCTCAGAGCAGACATGTGTGATTCTTCCTATGGACCCTCAGAGCAGACATGTGAGATTCTCTCTATGGACCCTCAGAGCAGACATGTGAGATTCTTCCTATGGACCCTCAGAGCAGACATGTGAGATTCTCTCTATGGACCCTCAGAGCAGACATGTGTGATTCTTCCTATGGACCCTCAGAGCAGACATGTGAGATTCTCCTTATGGACCCTCAGAGCGGACATGTGAGATTCTCCTTATGGACCCTCAGAGCAGACATGTGTGATCCACACATACACATACTTGCTGGAGGAAGGAGAGTTCTGGTTGATGGCCAAGAAGAGTCGTGAGGAGCTGACTTTTTTGAACTGAGCTTGTTCACACGGATACAACAGGATCATGGGCAGTGTGAAGTCAAACGTGATCCTCAGTCCATCCACCATCTCTTTACACAGCTCCTCACTGGCAAAAATATGTAGTGTTAGTAGTAGCAACTAATCGATTAATCGACGACTAATCGATTATTGAAATAGTCGACAACTATTTTAGTAATCGATTAATCTTTTTCTGGTTCACACGGACTCAAACAGAGCAAAAATGACATTAAAATGTTGTATTTTTGATTAAAACAGACTTTGTTTTTATAATTTCATGAACATCTGTGTCTCATCCAATCAGAGCAGAATTAGCACAAAGAGCCTGTTACAAACATTTACTTTAAGTTTACGCCTCAATACGTCCTCGAGTGTTGCCACTTTAGCTTTTTGTGATGAAAAAATATTTTTTTTCTACACAATTCACAGCCGATAGATTAATCGATTACAAAATAATCGTTAGTTGCAGCTCTAGTTAGTAGTGTTCAGAATGGAGGAAAAACATGTGTAAAATCCATCAAATATACCTCTTTTCAGGAGACACAGGCTGTGGAGCACTGTTCTGCGAGGCCTGCTGTCGCCTGTACCTCTCGTTGGCCATAAAAGCTTTGTTTATAGCAAAGTGTTTGACATAAGACTCTAAAATATGCACCACATTAGTCTGGCAGGGGACCATCACCAGCTTCAGAGAAAAGGACATGTTAGCAACATAATTGAACAAGTGTTGAAGCGTGATATCTTAAATACCTTCTTTCTCTTGTTGACGTAAAAGCAGTCGTCCTCTAGTTTCTTCTTCAGAACATCTGGAATGTTGATGTCCACATGGACAGCCTTCTCCTCACACTCCCGCTTCACGTTGATGTCCGCTTCAACCCTCTGAAAGGCAGAGTTAATTTAATGAAAGCGTTTTAATGATAAACATGTGACATTACCATTTTGTTAATATCCTCAGAGAAAGCACTGTCTCCACTATTAGAAGAATCAGGGTCAGAATCATCTGCGTCTGTGCTGTCAGAGGAGGAAATCAAACCTGAAACACACAGACACAATTCATTTGTAGCTTTAATTATATTCTCTATATTCCAGAGAGTAAAGAGCCTCCTACATGCATCCTCACTGTCCTCCTCTTTAGGCAGACTCTTCAAAACCGTTTTAGAACCAGATGGACGACGGCGCCGCTTCGCCCATGCCTTTTTCTTCCTACAAGAAATTATCATATTCAAGCTAATCATAAAATCACAGACACTGGTCAGACACAGGTCACAGACACTGGTCAGACACAGACACAGGTCACAGACACAGGTCACAGACACTGGTCACAGACACTGGTCACAGACACTGGTCAGACACTGGTCAGACACAGGTCACAGACACTGGTCAGACACAGACACAGGTCACAGACACAGGTCACAGACACTGGTCACAGACACTGTCACAGACACTGGTCAGACACTGGTCAGACACAGGTCACAGACACTGGTCAGACACAGACACAGGTCACAGACACAGGTCACAGACACTGGTCAGACACAGGTCACAGACACAGACAGATTTCAGGAAACAAAAGTATGTATACGAGTTTACTAAACCAAAGAGCTCTTACATGCGCTCTAGAGCTTTACGAGCCAATTTACGTTGCAATTTTCTGTTTTCTTCTGTGTCGCTTAGGACATGATCCTCTGCAGCCCAGCGATCCCAACTGCAACACAAACATTACAGTAACAATCAAAGCAAAGAGTCAAAAAGTCAACAAACGATATGCAACCTACCTTCGATTCCAACCATTGAAATGAATCAAATACTTTGGGACTCTCCTTCCATGTTCTTCTGAACCGATCAACACATCCAAAACCTTTGCATAGAAGTGTATAAGAAAATATCACTTGTGATCGGTTTACAAAAAATAAATGTCTATGTAGTAAAGAAAACTGTCTTTGCTAATAACACACGGAGCAGGTTGGAGACCATTCCCGTACAACGTGGCTTTAAAATGTACATTCACGTGTTTAGTAATAGCTAAGCAGAAGCTACATGCTAAGCAGAAGCTACATGCTAAGCAGAAGCTACATGCTAAGCAGAAGCTACATGCTAAGCAGAAGCTACATGCTAAGCAGAAGCTACATGCTAAGCAGAAGCTACATGCTAAGCAGAAGCTACATGCTAAGCAGAAGCTACATGCTAAGCAGAAGCTACATGCTAAGCAGAAGCTACATGCTAAGCAGAAGCTACATGCTAAGCAGAAGCTACATGCTAAGCAGAAGCTACATGCTAAGCAGAAGCTACATGCTAAGCAGAAGCTACATGCTAAGCAGAAGCTACATGCTAAGCAGAAGCTACATGCTAAGCAGAAGCTACATGCTAAGCAGAAGCTACATGCTAAGCAGAAGCTACATGCTAAGCAGAAGCTACATGCTAAGCAGAAGCTACATGCTAAGCAGAAGCTACATGCTAAGCAGAAGCTACATGCTAAGCAGAAGCTACATGCTAAGCAGAAGCTACATGCTAGCAGAAGCTACATGCTAAGCAGAAGCTACATGCTAAGCAGAAGGTAAACACGGACATGTTAGCATCACTTAGCATTAGCCGGGTGTCAAATTAATGTCAAAGCCAAAAGCGCACACTGTAATCATATGAACCAACCCTTAATTCGTCAAACTATGAACAGTGTCGTAGTGGCGGGTTGTATGAGAGTCAAACTAGTTGAATACTACCAGCTGAAGGCTGAAAACTAACTAGCCTTTAGCTAACACGAGCAAAGAGAGAGCTGTTTAATAAAATCAAACTAACGACTTCCTGAGTTATTGTTGAATTTAAATACAATGCAAAGACATTAAAGGAAATACATCACGAACCACAAATGCATGGACATTTGTAAGTTTTAGTTTCAATAATTGAAATTTGTGCAAACATTACAAGTAAATGTATTACGTAAATAAGACGTTACGTAACGTCCCCGGAAACAGATCAGATCATACTGTACACGGGTGCATAACAAAGTGATGCATCTGCACACTAACAAGCTCACAAACAACACTAAATGTCTTTAAATGAGTGAAACAATACGAATGTGCATAATTCACCTTTGCGTCATACAGAACTTTGGCTTTGGTGGGATCAGGCTCGAAACACAGCACTCGTTCTCCTTTGTGGAAGAGATATTTTATGCCCCGTGAATTCATTTGTTCATGGCGACTTCAATGGTGAAAAAGGCAACGAGCGAGAGTCCACAGAGGACCCTACAAAATCCTTAACCCTTTCTCCTCCGGGACGGTGTCCGCACTTCCAGGGATGGCGCTGTTGTTTTGGGAAGAAGTGAAGCTGGAGTCGGCTTCACTTCATCCATAAACACAGTGACGAGTTTATTCCAGTTGCACGCACAATAAACTCCCAAAGCAATGACCGATACAAGGCACCCAAACAAAAACACAGGACCCAGGTGATCCCAGGTGAATCCAGGTGAATCCAGGTGAATCCAGGTGAATCCAGGTGAATCCAGGTAAGCACAAATGTAAAAGTTTGATTGAGATAAACAAGAGACGGTGGAAAGTCGTGTGGACGCTGTACTCACTACAGCCGCAGCAGGAAGCGGAATCACAGACTGCACGGTTTCCAGTTAAAGGGCGACTTGTTTTTCTGTCCCTTTGTATAAAACATGGGCTTTTCATCAAATGGACATGATTTAATTACAGACTGTCGCCTCTCCACAGGTGTGACTCGTTATTTGACTGTGACGTCACTTTTTGAAGTTCTAAACAATGAAACCACCTCAAAAATGAAACTTAACTAAGTTCCTCTGGCTCACAATAGTGTATTTTCACATCATGTATATTTGGCCTCTGTCATAGCTATAGATCAGACAGAAAAGTGAGCCAATCAGCTTCCAGCTGTGAGAGCGACATGTAAAAGATAAAGACTGCTGTGGTCGGACTTTCTGTTGGAACAAACTACATGTTCCAAAAGGACCTTTAAACTACCTTCATGATTAGAGACAAATCAGAATGTCTTCCTTCTCACACCTGTTCTCCCTGCTCGACTCGTCCTGTAAGTTTAGTCCTACCCTCTGAGACACACCTTCCTTTATCCTCGTCTCAAATCTGCTTTTTCATCCTCTGTGTGCGTCACTTTGAGGATCCACTTTATTCTTCTTTATTCTTCGTTATTGTAACATCTGGAACATAATAATGAGCTCTAAGCTGTGGACTGAGGAGCAGTTTAACTGTCCCGTGTGCTTGGATCTACCCAACGACCCTGTGACCATCCCCTGTGGACACAGCTACTGCATGGGCTGCATCAAAGATTACTGGAGCAAAGATGACCCAAAAGGCATCTACAGCTGCCCCCAGTGTCGCCAAACCTTCTGCCCCAAGCCTCCGCTCAGCAGGAACACCATGCTGGCTGAGGCTGTGGACCAGCTCCGCAAAGGAGCCAGCAAGTCGGCCGTGAGGGAGTCCATGAGGAGCGTGAGGAGCGGGGCGTCTGTAACCTCCAAACTGTCTTCTTCTGCTGTGCCGTGTGACTTGTGTAAAGGAAAGCAGCGCGCTGCAGTGAAAAGCTGCTTAGTTTGTATGAGTTCTTACTGTGAGTCTCACCTGAAGCCGCATCAGACGCAGAAGGCTCTGAAACAACACGAGCTGAGTCCTCCCATCGGAAACCTGGCTGAGAAGATCTGCACGGCTCATAAGTATCTGGAGGAGTTCTACTGTCGGCCCTGTAAGGTGTTTGTGTGCTGGCTTTGCACCAGCAACCAGCACAAAGGCCACGAGTGTGTGTCCACCAAAGCAGAGCGCCAGGACAAGCAGGTGAGAGATCTTCTTGTTCATATATAATTATATATAATTATTCTCACAAGCAAAAGATAATTAATATTCTTCCTGAATAAAAAAGATTAGGTACCCCAGCCCTAGACATGCCTTTACTGCACTGTGCAGTACAAACCTGGAAACTCCCTCTTAGCTTCACACAGTAGTGACTTTCATTACTACAGCCACAAATGCCCTGGACTTGAGGCTGGCAATCTGTGCCATCAGCGCCTCCAACCACCACAGAAGTTATTATTGTTCTTTAAAGCAGACGCCAATAGTCCGTAAACATTCAAAAGGCAAGAGACTAGATCTAATGTTTGTAATGAAACTACAAACGCCCAGACGCAGCTTCGGTACATACTGTAATATATATGTATTATAATATATCATTATATAAGATGATATTATACTATAATATATTCTTATGTTATATTATGTCACAGAGAAGGTGTTCCAGAACATGAAACTATTGTCTCAAACATGTCTCCTTCTGGTCCTTCTGATGTCACATGTTTTATTTTTTTATTACAGAAATTATTTAGTGAAATTCAAACCGAAACCGCTCAGAGACTGAAGGATCGAGAGCTGGAGCTGAGAGACATGAAGAAGATGATGGAGGGAGTCAAGGTGTGTGTGTGTGTGCCATTTAAGTACATGTGGTGTGTGTTGTTTCTCAGGATTGTGTTGGTTCTCAAGGTTGTGTGTGTGTGTGTGTCTCTCAGCGGTCAGTGGACCTGGTGTTCAGTGACTCGGAGCAGACCCTGTCGGAGCTGCAGAGGTCTGTGGAGCGGCTGCAGGAGCTGCTGGAGGAGCTGATGGAGCAGGCTCACAGGGAGAAGGTGGGGCAGGCCCAGGAGGTGGTGGAGAGTCTGCAGGAGGAGGTGCAGGAGCTGAGAAGGAGAGACTCTGAGATGAAAGACCTGTCCCGCACCGAGGACCACATCCACTACCTGAAGGTGAGGTATTCAACATCCAACGAACACAGAGCAGTGTGTGTCACAGTCCTGGGTCTACAGTCCTGGGTCTACAGTCCTGGGTCTACAGCCTCAGGCCAGCCTCGGTCTTGGGTCTGCAGCCTCGGTCTTGGGTCTGCAGCCTCGGTCCTGGGTCTACAGCCTCAGGCCAGCCTCGGTCCTGGGTCTACAGCCTCTGTCCTGGGTCTGCAGCCTCGGTCCTGGGTCTACAGCCTCGGTCCTGGGTCTGCAGCCTCGGTCCTGGGTCTACAGCCTCAGGCCAGCCTCGGTCCTGGGTCTACAGCCTCTGTCCTGAGTCTGCAGCCTCGGTCCTGGGTCTGCAGCCTCGGTCCTGGGTCTACAGCCTCGGTCCTGGGTCTGCAACCTCGGTCCTGGGTCTGCAACCTCGGTCCTGGGTCTGCAGCCTCGGTCCTGGGTCTACAGCCTCGGTCCTGGGTCTGCAGCCTCGGTCCTGGGTCTACAGCCTCAGGCCAGCCTCGGTCCTGGGTCTACAGCCTCTGTCCTGAGTCTGCAGCCTCGGTCCTGGGTCTGCAGCCTCGGTCCTGGGTCTACAGCCTCGGTCCTGGGTCTGCAACCTCGGTCCTGGGTCTGCAACCTCGGTCCTGGGTCTGCAGCCTCGGTCCTGGGTCTACAGCCTCGGTCCTGGGTCTGCAGGCTCGGTCCTGGATCTATAGCCGTTTCTGGACAGTGGTCTTCCTACTCCCTATAGACTAATGTATTTCCTGTGTTTGAACTGTTTGATTCTCTTATCTGTTGTTGAGGAATCAACAACTTTGTATAGTCTTTACAAAAATGAATTGAATTAAGAATGGAGTAAACATATTTATTCTCTCAGGGTTATCACAAATGTTGTAATGTTGTAGACATACGAGTCGATGTGTCGCCCGCTGGACTGTGGGGAGCTGCCTGCCGTCCACGTCAACCACGGCGCCACCTTCGACCCAATCCGAGAACTGGTGCTGGACCTCAGGGAGAGAGTGGAGGACTTGTGTAACCAAGAACTGACCAAGATCAGCAAGCAAGGTCTGACACTAACCCTATCAAAGAACTGAGATCAGCTAGCAAGGTCTGACACTAACCCTAACCAAGAACTAAGATCAGCTAGCAAGGTCTGACACTAACCCTATCAAAGAACTGAGATCAGCTAGCAAGGTCTGACACTAACCCTAACCAAGAACTAAGATCAGCTAGCAAGGTCTGACACTAACCCTAACCAAGAACTAAGATCAACTAGCCAGGTCTGACACTAACCCTATCAAAGAACTGAGATCAGCTAGCAAGGTCTGACACTAACCCTAACCAAGAACTAAGATCAACTAGCAAGGTCTGACACTAACCCTAACCAAGAACTAAGATCAGCTAGCAAGGTCTGACACTAACCCTAACCAAGAACTAAGATCAACTAGCCAGGTCTGACCAGTGTGGGCGGGTCCCTGCTCAAAAGTGGCCAAAGTGACGTGCGCTGACATGCTGCAATACCACCCTGGGCCTGTGGGGGTGGACTCAAAAGAACATATAGCGTTGGCTGACCTCTGGAAAACGTCTTTACAGGATGGACCAAAAGTTGTCTCTTGGCCCAAAGCTCCGTTCCACATGTGTGTCAATGCTGAGGGGGGTGAATTTTTTTGGTCCACTCTAGTTGCTGTGAACTTTTGAAGTTCAAATGAATGGCGCTGCGGCGGCTGACGCATGCGCAAACTCTGTCCGTTAATATATACAGTCTATGGGTATGACACATAGACTGTATATATTAACGGACAGTCACGCCTATCTCCGCCGTTCTAACTAATGGGCCAAAAAATTCCAGTTTTACAGACGTCTGCCAATGCTATATGTTAGCATTGGCTAATTCTTCTTCTGGGGCCACCCCCACAGGCCCAGGGTGGTATTGCAGCATGTCAGCGCACGTCATTTTGGCCACTTTTGAGCTGGGACCCGCCCCCACTGGTCTGACACTAACCCTAACCAAGAACTAAGATCAGCTAGCCAGGTCTGACACCACAATGACCAATGGTTGGGGTAATGTCCCTCAAGCAAGCCCCTGTGATCCAAGATGGCGTCCTATTCAAATGAATGGCTTATGCTCAGTGGCGCCCCCCCATGGGGACTGAGAGATTAGGTGAACTCGCCCATATTTGGGCATCGTCTGGTCCTCCCGGTTCTGGGCAGTGGACGAGCTCCCATGATGCTTTGCGCAAAAATACATGTGTGTGGCTCTCATGCACGTGCACAGAGGGGCTCAGCAGCGTTCTGACCAATCAGAGCAGCGGTAGAGAGGAGTTGGAGCAGGAAGGAAAACCGCAACGTTTGTGGCAGTAAAGTGTGGATTTAAGGAAAACCAAAGTATTTAAGAAGAAAAAAAGTTCAGGAGAAAAAGGGACACAAAAATCCCTTCCCGTCTGTTTTAGTTTACATTGGGTTCTATGGGTTCTATCTAACGTGAATTTAGTCTCTAACAGCTGTTAGCTAATACTCTATCCAGTTATTATTATAGATCCATGCTCTCGTTTAAATTTAAAAATATAGTTAGTGGTTTAATATTGTGTGTCTTTGTCTCTTTCAGTCAATGACATCTCTCTGTTCACTCTGGGTAAGTTTCTTCTTCATGGGTATTTGTCGTAGTCTTCAGTCGCTCACCACTGCCTCCTACAGGCCATCGTGGAGGCGCCAAAGGATCCATCCTGAAAAGTGAGTTCATAAAAAATAAACACGTGTCTGAGTTCGAATAAAGACTTTGGATTTTTTATTTTCTAGTATTTTCGGGACTGGGATCTCGCAGTGCTAATAATAGATCTGCAGGTATGTGTGTCTGTGTGTGTGTAACACATTTGCATAACTAACGTTCTCCTGCAGTTCCCAGTGTGTCCTCTGGAGGGAGAAGTGCAGAACGGAGAGGGATCGGTTTGTAAAGAATCTACTGATACAAATCGTAGATTGTGTGTCTCAGTGTTGTGTGTGGGTGTCTCAGTGTTGAGTGTGTGTGTCTCAGTGTTGAGTGTGTATGTCTCAGTGTTGTGTGTCTCCTGTAGGTGTTGGAAGCCGAGGCCCAGATGTTAGAACCAGAGAAACAAGTGAGGCTTTCACACGTCTGTTTTTTCTCACGTCTGTGTTTCCTCACGTCTGTGTTTCCTCACGTCTGTGTTTCCTCACGTCTGTGCTTTCACATGTCTGTGTTTTCACACGTCTGTGTTTTCTCACGTCTGTGTTTCCTCACGTCTGTGTTTTCACACGTCTGTGTTTTCTCACGTCTGTGTTTCCTCACGTCTGTGTTTCCTCACGTCTGTGTTTTCTCACGTCTGTGTTTCCTCACGTCTGTGTTTTCTCACGTCTGTGTTTCCTCACGTCTGTGTTTCCTCACGTCTGTGTTTTCACACGTCTGTGTTTTCTCACGTCTGTGTTTCCTCACGTCTGTGTTTTCACACGTCTGTGTTTTCTCACGTCTGTGTTTTCTCACGTCTGTGTTTTCTCACGTCTGTGTTTCCTCACGTCTGTGTTTCCTCACGTCTGTGTTTCCTCACGTCTGTGTTTTCACATGTCTGTTTCCTCACGTCTGTGTTTCCTCACGTCTGTGTTTCCTCACGTCTGTGTTTTCTCACGTCTGTGTTTCCTCACGTCTGTGTTTCCTCACGTCTGTGTTTCCTCACGTCTGTGTTTTCTCACGTCTGTGTTTCCTCACGTCTGTGTTTCCTCACGTCTGTGTTTCCTCACGTCTGTGTTTTCACATGTCTGTTTCCTCACGTCTGTGTTTCCTCACGTCTGTGTTTTCTCACGTCTGTGTTTTCTCACGTCTGTGTTTCCTCACGTCTGTGTTTCCTCACGTCTGTGTTTCCTCACGTCTGTGCTTTCACATGTCTGTGTTTTCTCACGTCTGTGTTTTCTCACGTCTGTTTCCTCACGTCTGTGTTTCCTCACGTCTGTGCTTTCACATGCCTGTGTTTCCTCACGTCTGTGTTTCCTCACGTCTGTGTTTTCTCACGTCTGTGTTTCCTCACGTCTGTGTTTCCTCACGTCTGTGTTTCCTCACGTCTGTGTTTCCTCACGTCTGTGTTTCCTCACGTCTGTGTTTCCTCACGTCTGTGCTTTCACATGTCTGTGTTTTCACACGTCTGTGTTTTCTCACGTCTGTGTTTCCTCACGTCTGTGTTTCCTCACGTCTGTGTTTTCTCACGTCTGTGTTTCCTCACGTCTGTGTTTCCTCACGTCTGTGTTTTCTCACGTCTGTGTTTCCTCACGTCTGTGTTTTCTCACGTCTGTGTTTCCTCACGTCTGTGTTTTCTCACGTCTGTGTTTCCTCACGTCTGTGTTTCCTCACGTCTGTGTTTTCACACGTCTGTGTTTTCTCACGTCTGTGTTTCCTCACGTCTGTGTTTTCACACGTCTGTGTTTTCTCACGTCTGTGTTTCCTCACGTCTGTGTTTCCTCACGTCTGTGTTTCCTCACGTCTGTGTTTCCTCACGTCTGTGTTTTCACATGTCTGTTTCCTCACGTCTGTGTTTCCTCACGTCTGTGTTTCCTCACGTCTGTGTTTTCTCACGTCTGTGTTTCCTCACGTCTGTGTTTCCTCACGTCTGTGTTTCCTCACGTCTGTGTTTTCTCACGTCTGTGTTTCCTCACGTCTGTGTTTCCTCACGTCTGTGTTTCCTCACGTCTGTGTTTTTCACATGTCTGTTTCCTCACGTCTGTGTTTCCTCACGTCTGTGTTTTCTCACGTCTGTGTTTTCTCACGTCTGTGTTTCCTCACGTCTGTGTTTCCTCACGTCTGTGTTTCCTCACGTCTGTGCTTTCACATGTCTGTGTTTTCTCACGTCTGTGTTTTCTCACGTCTGTTTCCTCACGTCTGTGTTTCCTCACGTCTGTGCTTTCACATGTCTGTGTTTCCTCACGTCTGTGTTTCCTCACGTCTGTGTTTTCTCACGTCTGTGTTTCCTCACGTCTGTGTTTCCTCACGTCTGTGTTTCCTCACGTCTGTGTTTCCTCACGTCTGTGTTTTCACACGTCTGTGTTTTCACACGTCTGTGTTTCCTCACGTCTGTGTTTCCTCACGTCTGTGTTTCCTCACGTCTGTGTTTCCTCACGTCTGTGTTTTCTCACGTCTGTGTTTCCTCACGTCTGTGTTTCCTCACGTCTGTGTTTCCTCACGTCTGTGTTTTCACACGTCTGTGTTTCCTCACGTCTGTGTTTCCTCACGTCTGTGTTTCCTCACGTCTGTGTTTCCTCACGTCTGTGTTTCCTCACGTCTGTGTTTCCTCACGTCTGTGTTTCCTCACGTCTGTGTTTCCTCACGTCTGTGTTTCCTCACGTCTGTGTTTCCTCACGTCTGTGTTTTCTCACGTCTGTGTTTTCTCACGTCTGTGTTTTCTCACGTCTGTGTTTTCACACGTCTGTGTTTTCTCACGTCTGTGTTTTCACACGTCTGTGTTTCCTCACGTCTGTGTTTCCTCACGTCTGTGTTTTCACACGTCTGTGTTTTCTCACGTCTGTGTTTTCACACGTCTGTGTTTCCTCACGTCTGTGTTTCCTCACGTCTGTGTTTTCACACGTCTGTGTTTTCTCACGTCTGTGTTTTCATAGATCATTTATCGGTTCCTGAGACCAGGTCCAGATCCGGTCCCAGTCCGAGGTCCAGTCCGGCCCCGAGCCGCAGAGAGACTCGGTCCTTGTGGAACCGCTCCAGTTCCCAGAGTCTAGCGCCCTCTGCTGTTCCATCACTGCCTCCTGCTGCTCCTCCTGGTCCTGCTGCTCCTCCTGGTCCTGCTGCTCCTCCTGGTCCCAGTGGTAAGGCTCCACAAAGAGGATGCAGGACATTTGAATGTTGTTGTGGTGCTCTTGGGCAAGACACGTCTTCATTTTTAAATACTGCAGTGACATTGTATTTCCCCAAATCAGAGACCACATGGTATTGGACCATAGGGAGAGACCACATGGTATTGGACCATAGGGAGAGACCACATGGTATTGGACCATAGGGAGAGACCACATGGTATTGGACCATAGGCAGAGACCACATGGTTTTGGACCATAGGCAGAGACCAGTGTCCATGAATGAAGTAGGAATAAACATATTTGTGATGAACAATAAGTTTGATGTTTACAAAGAACCTTTTATCATTATTATATTATTTAATTAAATTATTTATTATGATTATACATATTACAAAGACTTTATGAAACTAAAATCCTGAGTCAAAAACTTCCTTTGTTTGAAAGAAAATGTAATATTTTTTTAAATGTTTTGTTCATTTGAAGGTTTCAGTCGAATGGCATCGATCGGGAACATCTTCAGGTCTCGCCGCGGGACACAGGCCGCACCTGGTGAGAACATTATACATTTATATTAGGGCTGTCAAAATTATCGCGTTAACGCACGTTAATTAAAGCAAAGGAAGGTTTCTCACCCATCATCTGTACTTCTTAGCAAGTTTTCCCGACGTTTCGTCCTCAACCTGGGGACTTCTTCAGGGAATGAATTCTCAGACCGCGCGTTGGAGATTTATAACCTATGGGTGTGGTTAGCCACGCCCTAATCCTGATACTAACTCGTAAACAATCTAAGGTCTGTTTGATGTAGAAGGGAGCAGGTCTAACGACCCTGCTGAGGCTAACGACCCTAACTCATTAGCATGTCACAGACCTATTGTCTGCTGGGATGCTCAAGTGGAGTGCAGGTCTCACCCCTCCTAACTCATTAGCATGTCACAGACCTATTGTCTGCTGGGATGCTCCAGTGGAGTGCAGGTCTCACCCCTCCTAACTCATTAGCATGTCACTGACCTATTGTCTGCTGGGATGCTCAAGTGGAGTGCAGGTCTCACCCTCCTAACTCATTAGCATGTCACAGACCTATTGTCTGCTGGGATGCTCAAGTGGAGTGCAGGTCTCACCCCTCCTAACTCATTAGCATGTCACTGACCTATTGTCTGCTGGGATGCTCAAGTGGAGTGCAGGTCTCACCCCTCCTAACTCATTAGCATGTCACTGACCTATTGTCTGCTGGGATGCTCAAGTGGAGTGCAGGTCTCACCCCTCCTAACTCATTAGCATGTCACTGACCTATTGTCTGCTGGGATGCTCAAGTGGAGTGCAGGTCTCACCCCTCCTAACTCATTAGCATGTCACTGACCTATTGTCTGCTGGGATGCTCCAGTGGAGTGCAGGTCTCACCCCTCCTAACTCATTAGCATGTCACTGACCTATTGTCTGCTGGGATGCTCCAGTGGAGTGCAGGTCTCACCCCTCCTAACTCATTAGCATGTCACTGACCTATTGTCTGCTGGGATGCTCAAGTGGAGTGCAGGTCTCACCCCTCCTAACTCATTAGCATGTCACTGACCTATTGTCTGCTGGGATGCTCCAGTGGAGTGCAGGTCTCACCCCTCCTAACTCATTAGCATGTCACTGACCTATTGTCTGCTGGGATGCTCAAGTGGAGTGCAGGTCTCACCCCTCCTAACTCATTAGCATGTCACTGACCTATTGTCTGCTGGGATGCTCAAGTGGAGTGCAGGTCTCACCCCTCCTAACTCATTAGCATGTCACTGACCTATTGTCTGCTGGGATGCTCAAGTGGAGTGCAGGTCTCACCCCTCCTAACTCATTAGCATGTCACTGACCTATTGTCTGCTGGGATGCTCAAGTGGAGTGCAGGTCTCACCCCTCCTAACTCATTAGCATGTCACTGACCTATTGTCTGCTGGGATGCTCAAGTGGAGTGCAGGTCTCACCCCTCCTAACTCATTAGCATGTCACTGACCTATTGTCTGCTGGGATGCTCAAGTGGAGTGCAGGTCTCACCCCTCCTAACTCATTAGCATGTCACAGACCTATTGTCTGCTGGGATGCTCAAGTGGAGTGCAGGTCTCACCCCTCCTAACTCATTAGCATGTCACAGACCTATTGTCTGCTGGGATGCTCAAGTGGAGTGCAGGTCTCACCCCTCCTAACTCATTAGCATGTCACAGACCTATTGTCTGCTGGGATGCTCAAGTGGAGTGCAGGTCTCACCCCTCCTAACTCATTAGCATGTCACTGACCTATTGTCTGCTGGGATGCTCAAGTGGAGTGCAGGTCTCACCCTCCTAACTCATTAGCATGTCACTGACCTATTGTCTGCTGGGATGCTCAAGTGGAGTGCAGGTCTCACCCCTCCTAACTCATTAGCATGTCACTGACCTATTGTCTGCTGGGATGCTCAAGTGGAGTGCAGGTCTCACCCCTCCTAACTCATTAGCATGTCACAGACCTATTGTCTGCTGGGATGCTCAAGTGGAGTGCAGGTCTCACCCCTCCTAACTCATTAGCATGTCACTGACCTATTGTCTGCTGGGATGCTCAGTGGAGTGCAGGTCTCACCCCTCCTAACTCATTAGCATGTCACAGACCTATTGTCTGCTGGGATGCTCAAGTGGAGTGCAGGTCTCACCCCTCCTAACTCATTAGCATGTCACTGACCTATTGTCTGCTGGGATGCTCAAGTGGAGTGCAGGTCTCACCCCTCCTAACTCATTAGCATGTCACTGACCTATTGTCTGCTGGGATGCTCAAGTGGAGTGCAGGTCTCACCCCTCCTAACTCATTAGCATGTCACTGACCTATTGTCTGCTGGGATGCTCCAGTGGAGTGCAGGTCTCACCCCTCCTAACTCATTAGCATGTCACTGACCTATTGTCTGCTGGGATGCTCCAGTGGAGTGCAGGTTTCACCCCTCCTAACTCATTAGCATGTCACTGACCTATTGTCTGCTGGGATGCTCAAGTGGAGTGCAGGTCTCACCCTCCTAACTCATTAGCATGTCACTGACCTATTGTCTGCTGGGATGCTCAAGTGGAGTGCAGGTCTCACCCCTCCTAACTCATTAGCATGTCACTGACCTATTGTCTGCTGGGATGCTCAAGTGGAGTGCAGGTCTCACCCCTCCTAACTCATTAGCATGTCACTGACCTATTGTCTGCTGGGATGCTCAAGTGGAGTGCAGGTCTCACCCCTCCTAACTCATTAGCATGTCACTGACCTATTGTCTGCTGGGATGCTCAAGTGGAGTGCAGGTCTCACCCCTCCTAACTCATTAGCATGTCACTGACCTATTGTCTGTGGGATGCTCCAGTGGAGTGCAGGTCTCACCCCTCCTAACTCATTAGCCTGTCACTGACCTTGCTAAGAAGGTCAGTGACAGGTCAGGAAAACTTGCTAAGAAGTACAGATGATGGGTGAGAAACCTTCCTTTGCTTTGACTAATCCCTGTACGACTGAGGGCTTACACAAACCGCACGTTAATTAATTTTTTTCATTAATCACGTTAAAAACATTAACGCATTTGACGCATGCCCATGCATCCCATAATAACCCTCAGAATGCCGCGGACACATGCGTGTGTAAGACGGGGACAGAGCAGGTCTCTGGGAATTCAAGTTTTGAAAGAACACACGCGTGACCGCGGGGCACGTGTTGTTTCCTGTATGAACTCTGCATGATGAGCTGCGGGCGCCACAGCGCTCTGGACCGTTCCCACTTCCAGCGGCTGTGATGACGGTGAACGGCGCTGCGTAATGGGATCATATCCAAGACCACGCACAGAACTATTACAGAACTATTCTCTAGTGTGCGTACGTGTCTTTGTGTAACCGATGCACACAATATGTGCAGCGCTGAAGCTGGAGGAGCCTCAGTCTCCTCCGTGTCTTCTCCCGAAGCGCACTCGCTAAATTAAAGCTGAGGTACCTAATTTTCCTTTCGACCATCAGTTCATGTCGTTGTGCCAAAAAAGTAATGGTGTGAGCAAATCAAACAGATTTAATGACATTCTGCTTCAGACTGTCTGTAACTATCTGTAACAAACAATGGTTTGGTCTGAGTCTAAACAGAAAGACAGAATGTTAATAATGTTAATTCCATTTTATATGGATTTATTGATATAACAAACAAATACAGTTCATATGTTCACTAAGCTGTCATTTATCTTTCCATTCAAACAACCATTTACAGAGAAATATGGCATAATTTTGCCAATAGTTTGAAATGTGATTAATTACGATTAATTAATTTTTAAGCTGTAATTAACTCTATTAAAAAAATTAATCGTTTGACAGCCCTAATTTATATTTAATAATAATAATAATAATAATTACTACAGGTCCTGCGGTGCCAGAGTCTCCAATTGAAGGTAATGGAACATTTTAATATTTGTTTTTTTTTCTTTTTACCTTTTTAATGTTTTAATGTTTAAATGTTTTCAGTGAATCCAGGACTTTTTTTGGACGATCCAGAAACTACAACAATGAACTACACTTTCCCTGGATGTGAGTCTGAGCTCTAACTTGGATCTAACTTGGATCTAACTTGGATCTAACTTGGATCTAACTTGGATCTAACTTGGATCTAACTTGGATCTAACTTGGATCTAACTTGGATCTAACTTGGATCTAACTTGGATCTAACTTGGATCTAACTTGGATCTAACTTGGATCTAACTTGGATCTAACTTAGATCTGAGATCTGTTATAACTCTAACCTTAAAGATAACTCTAACCTGTTTCAGTGCGAGAGCTGAGTCTGGACAGTCTTCAGGCTCCAGAGCCTCGATCCAGAGAAGATCTGCTTCAGAGTAAGTACCATGTGTCACCTACCATGTAGCGCCCCCTGCCGGTCAGCGCCACCATGTGTCGCCCCCTGCCGGTCAGCGCCTGTGTCGCCCCCTGCAGGTCAGAGCCTGTGTCGCCCCCTGCAGGTCAGAGCCTGTGTCGCCCCCTGCAGGTCAGAGCCTGTGTCGCCCCCTGCAGGTCAGAGCCTGTGTCGCCCCCTGCAGGTCAGCGCCACCATGTGTCGCCCCCTGCAGGTCAGAGCCTGTGTCGCCCCCTGCAGGTCAGAGCCTGTGTCGCCCCCTGCAGGTCAGAGCCTGTGTCGCCCCCTGCAGGTCAGAGCCTGTGTCGCCCCCTGCAGGTCAGAGCCTGTGTCGCCCCCTGCAGGTCAGAGCCTGTGTCGCCCCCTGCAGGTCAGAGCCTGTGTCGCCCCCTGCAGGTCAGCGCCACCATGTGTCGCCCCCTGCAGGTCAGAGCCTGTGTCGCCCCCTGCAGGTCAGAGCCTGTGTCGCCCCCTGCAGGTCAGAGCCTGTGTCGCCCCCTGCAGGTCAGAGCCTGTGTCGCCCCCTGCAGGTCAGAGCCTGTGTCGCCCCCTGCAGGTCAGAGCCTGTGTCGCCCCCTGCAGGTCAGAGCCTGTGTCGCCCCCTGCAGGTCAGCGCCTGTGTTGCCCCCTGCAGGTCAGAGCCTGTGTCGCCCCCTGCAGGTCAGCGCCACCATGTAGCGCCCCCTGCAGGTCAGAGCCTGTGTCGCCCCCTGCAGGTCAGAGCCTGTAGCGCCCCCTGCAGGTCAGCGCCTGTGTTGCCCCCTGCAGGTCAGCGCCTGTGTTGCCCCCTGCAGGTCAGAGCCTGTGTCGCCCCCTGCAGGTCAGCGCCTGTGTTGCCCCCTGCAGGTCAGAGCCTGTGTCGCCCCCTGCAGGTCAGCGCCTGTGTCGCCCCCTGCAGGTCAGAGCCTGTAGCGCCCCCTGCAGGTCAGCGCCTGTGTTGCCCCCTGCAGGTCAGAGCCTGTGTCGCCCCCTGCAGGTCAGCGCCACCATGTAGCGCCCCCTGCCGGTCAGCGCCACCATGTAGTGCCCCCTGCCGGTCAGCGCCACCATGTAGCGCCCCCTGCAGGTCAGAGCCACCATGTAGCGCCCCCTGCAGGTCAGAGCCACCATGTAGCGCCCCCTGCAGGTCAGAGCCACCATGTAGCGCCCCCTGCAGGTCAGAACAAATGATCAACTCTGGTGTTAAAGTCCTGTTCCTGGTACAGACGCCGTGGCCCTGACCCTTGACCCCAACACTGCGCACAGACGTCTGCTGCTGTCGGAGAGAAACACTAAAGCGTCGCTGCAGACGGTCCCGGACTCTGTCTCGGACTCTTTTCCGGACTCTGCTCAGAGGTTCGACGGCTGGACTCAGGTTCTGTGTCAGAGCGTCCTCGGGGCTCGCAGCTATTGGGAGGTGGAGTGGAGGGGGCGGGGCTCCTCTGTGGGCGTGGCTTATGGCTCCATCTGTCGTAAAGGAGCAGACGCCAGGTCCGGTCTCGGGTTCAACGCTCAGTCCTGGAGTTTAGAGCTGTCGGACTCCTGCTGCGCCGCGATGCACGACAACCAGAAGAAGCAGATCTCGGTCCCGTACTGTCCTCGGGTCGGCGTGTTCCTGGACCTGAACGCCGGGACGCTGTCCTTCTACAGCGTGTCCCACGGCGTGACGCTGCTGCACCGGTTCAGAGCCAACTTCACGCAGCCGCTGTACGCTGCCTTCGGAGTCGGGACAGGAGTCGGCGTCGGACTAGACTTCGCTCTCGGTCACTTCAGCTCCAGCACTGACAGCGTTCACTTGTGTCCCATGTGAACATCTGCTACTGTAGCTGTAGCTGTAGCTCTAACTGTAGCTCTCTAGCTGTAGCTCTAACTGTAGCTGTAGCTCTAACTCTCAGGGAAAGTGACAGTTAGTAGTGGGTTAGACGTTGAAAAATAAATGCTTAAGAAATACTAATTAACCATGAATTAAACATAAATTACTGTTAACTACCGAAGGCTGAATAAAGTGTGACTAAAATCTGTTGTAAATATTATTTATTTGTGGAAAGGACTGACATAAATAAATCCTGACTTTGAAGATAAATAAGTTCAAATGTGTTTTAAATATTGTCTAAAACTGAATTAAAGATTTTGATTTGATTTAAAGAAATGATTCTGATTTTTCTGTTTATAAATAAAAGTGTTTTTCTCATCAAAAAACCAAGGCTTGTTCTGATTTATCTAAACATTTAAAGTTTGCAGCTGCAAAAACTCTGTTTTAAACGATAGTTTAAAACATAAACATATTAGTGCTTCATAGTTACTCACATGACTCTTATGGAACTGCTCCGACCAGAGACTAAGAGCCGATGTTTTTACTGCGTTCCTGGAAAGAGTTGATCCAAGATGGCGGCCTGTTCAAATGAATGGCTTGTGCTCAGTAGAGCATCATGGGACATACAGGAGGACCGAAAGATTAGCGAAACTCGCCCATATTTGGGCATCATCTGGTCCTCCCGGTTCTGTGCAGTGGATGATATCCCATGATGCTTTGCGCCAAGTACGAGTGTGTGGCGCTCATGTACGTGCACAGAGGCCTCGCTCTGACCAATCAGAGGGCAGAGTTCTGACCAATCAGAGGGCAGAGTTCTGACCAATCAGAGCTGCTGATCAGAGCGGGAGTTCCATCCATATATTATAGATCCATGGCCATATCATGCAAATGGATACTTTATCTCTGCCATCTTGGATTGCGTTGGCTGCTGTGAAACTTGCATGTGCAGGTTTGCATTACAAAATAATCAGCTGAGGCAGCACAGCTCGACAAGTGACAACACCGGCTCGTGGAGTCGGCCTTTACTACTCAGGTCAGAGGTCAGAGGTGTTGTTGACGCTTGTCCTGTGAAAGCCCGAGGCGCCGGGTGGCCACCCCTGCTCTTATGCAGATTATTTAAACACTTGTTTCTAAAAACCGTCTGAGAATCTGGGCCCAAATAATGAAAGCAAAACAAATGTATTTCTCCCAAAACTTTATTTAAAAAAAGAGGCAACAGATAAAAAGCCATTGACAAAATACAGAAGGTTTGATGTTGAGAAAAAAGCACAGTCTGTGAATCCACGGCTAAAATGGTCTTTTCACACGATAAAATGTAAAATATTGTTATCTGAGTTAAAATAACATTACATTAAAACACAAACATAATATTATGAGTGCAATAAACTATTGTGCTGTTTCCATGGAGACGCTGCGACAGTAAAAGGTCAATGGTGTCCTTTCGTTTCCATGGAGACGGTGTTTCAGGTGTAAACGTTGAATAATAGGCTCCAGAGTGGAACAGAACAGAGACGGCCTCAGCACTTAGAACAACAATGGCGGCAGGTCAGCTAATGCTAATGCTACGGGTTAGGGTTAGGGTTAGGGTTAACCCTAACGGCGTTTTCTACTCCTTTGTCCAAACCAAACCACAGCTGTAGTTTCACTTTCCATTTTCTCTGCTGCTGTTAAAGAATGACAGAATGATGTTGGTTCTTTCCCGTCTTTGGCCTGAGGAGGATGTTGTTGAGGAAGTGCTTCTACTGCTAATGTTCCACTGCCCCCTACAGGCCGCAAGCTGCAACTACAGCATTTTCAGGCATTGTGTAAACGCTGTGGACTTGGAATACGGAGAGTGGTTGTTTTAGCTTTGCAGCGTCTCCGTCTAAACCAAACCTAAGTTTCTTACAAATTGGGGAAAGCAAGGGTTGTTAGCAGCGAGTGTTAGCAGTGGGTGTCAGCAGTGGGTGTCAGCAGCGGGTGTCAGCAGCGGGTGTCAGCAGCGGGTGTCAGCAGTGGGTGTCAGCAGTGGGTGTCAGCAGCGGGTGTCAGCAGTGGGTGTCAGCAGCGGGTGTCAGCAGCGGGTGTCAGCAGTGGGTGTCAGCAGCGGGTGTCAGCAGTGGGTGTCAGCAGCGGGTGTCAGCAGCGGGTGTCAGCAGCGAGTGTCAGCAGCGGGTGTCAGCAGCGAGTGTCAGCAGCGGGTGTCAGCAGCGGGTGTCAGCAGCGGGTGTCAGCAGCGGGTGTCAGCAGCGAGTGTCAGCAGCGGGTGTCAGCAGCGGGTGTCAGCAGCGGGTGTCAGCAGCGGGTGTCAGCAGCGGGTGTTAGCAGCGGGTGTCAGCAGCGGGTGTCAGCAGCGGGTGTCAGCAGTGGGTGTTAGACTCACATTTAGCTGTTTCCTTTTGCTAAACAGTTCTATAATGTGGACCAAACATGGAGAAATGTCTTTAAAACAATAAAACCCTGAATTCAGAAACAAATGTCTTTAAAACAAACTGAGCCTGAGGAAAAACAATTGATTTGATTTTATTTGCGTTTTAAACTGAACAAAGACATGTCTTGACGTTGCTAAGGCCCCAAACACCAACCAGGCTGTGAGAGGTGCATGCTGGGAACTGTAGTTTAAATCATGCAGATGCTCCTCGCAAATGGACGGAAACAGAAGCAATACACAACTTTTCTATTGTGCATCTGTGGAATCATCAACTTTTTCATCTACGACTTCAACAAGTAGGATTTATTTTATGGGAATATTGGGAATAAGGCAAAGGCCAAAAACGAAAGCTTTTCCAACCGTCCTTTCTCCAAAGTCCAAATCGTTCATAGTAAAACTTGCTTTTACTTTCCTTCTCTTTCCTTTATTCCACGTCCTCGTACCATCGAAACCAAAACATCCTTTTCCCACTTCTACAAGGCCATAAAACTGTTCAGAAAAACACTGAATTGTGCTTTAAATTGGATTTAAAAAGGAGGGATTTCTTTAGATAAACGTTTATGGGCAGCTCTAACGTAGAGATACTGTGAGACTGATCATTTTAAATAAACAACAAATGACATTTATCTTCAGGATCGATTATGAACGCTCTCGGTTCAGTTTCTAGTTTTAATAGTGAATAAATAAAGGTTTTTAGTTTAAATCAAGTCCTTTTGAAGCTTCAGGACTTGGTTGTGGGAACAGGTGGAGCCACAAGAGGCTGCCTCTGGTCCTTCAGGTTGCCCCAGGGCGGGGCAGCGATGGCGAGGGAGGTGGGCGGGGCAGCGATGGCGAGGGAGGTGGGCGGGGCAGCGATGGCGAGGGAGGTGGGCGGGGCAGCGATGGCGAGGGAGGTGGGCGGGGCAGCGATGGCGAGGGAGGTGGGCGGGGCAGCGATGGCGAGGGAGGTGGGCGGTTGTGGATGAGTCGATGAAGATTTTCCTTTGGCTCCGATGAGTGCCGGGAGGCTCTGGTTTCTCCTCAGTCCGTCCAGTAAACTCCCGCCTCCCGTCGACACAAAGGTGGAGTCAGGTCTGGAATTGCTCTGCAGAACCTTCTGGAACCCCAGCTTCCGGAGCCGGTCCACGATGGCGCCCGGAGGTTTTGGGGGAACACCTGGAGCTGGGGCGTCCTGAGAAGGACTGGGTAAGTTTGGATGTGGAGCACGACCCAGGTTCAAACCATAGACGTCCTGGAGGATGGACTCGGCGGGACGAGAGGCCAGGAAGTTATCAGCGGGTCGCTCTGAGGGCAGGGGGTAGGATGGGGGAGTCATGGGGCAGAGAAGCACAGGGGGTCTGTGTTTAGGCCTGGGGGAGGGGGGAGGGCTTTCACTGGAGATCTGAGCAGAAATGCCACGTTCCAGGACGAGTTTGGCCAGACCGCCACTAGGGGGCGCCACATGGCGGCGTGAGAGGAAGGTCTCTCCCAGACTGAGTCTGCAGGTCCCTCCCAGACTGAGTCTGCAGGGGGTGACGGGGGTGTCGGGGGTCCTCATGGAGCTGGGGGTCAGAGACGACTGGGAGCTGGACACACAATGGTTTAGATGTGACATCACTGTACCTGTGGGTCAGGTGGGTGGTGTCACTGGGGTGTACCTGTGGGTCAGGTGGGTGGTGTCACTGGGGTGTACCTGTGGGTCAGGTGGGTGGTGTCACTGGGGTGTACCTGTGGGTCAGGTGGGTGGTGTCACTGGGGTGTACCTGTGGGTCAGGTGGGTGGTGTCACTGGGGTGTACCTGTGGGTCAGGTGGGTGGTGTCACTGGGGTGTACCTGTGGGTCAGGTGGGTGGTGTCACTGGGGTGTACCTGTGGGTCAGGTGGGTGGTGTCACTGGGGTGTACCTGTGGGTCAGGTGGGTGGTGTCACTGGGGTGTACCTGTGGGTCAGGTGGGTGGTGTCACTGGGGTGTACCTGTGGGTCAGGTGGGTGGTGTCACTGGGGTGTACCTGTGGGTCAGGTGGGTGGTGTCACTGGGGTGTACCTGTGGGTCAGGTGGGTGGTGTCACTGGGGTGTACCTGTGGGTCAGGTGGGTGGTGTCACTGGGGTGTACCTGTGGGTCAGGTGGGTGGTGTCACTGGGGTGTACCTGTGGGTCAGGTGGGTGGTGTCACTGGGGTGTACCTGTGGGTCAGGTGGGTGGTGTCACTGGGGTGTACCTGTGGGTCAGGTGGGTGGTGTCACTGGGGTGTACCTGTGGGTCAGGTGGGTGGTGTCACTGGGGTGTACCTGTGGGTCAGGTGGGTGGTGTCACTGGGGTGTACCTGTGGGTCAGGTGGGTGGTGTCACTGGGGTGTACCTGTGGGTCAGGTGGGTGGTGTCACTGGGGTGTACCTGTGGGTCAGGTGGGTGGTGTCACTGGGGTGTACCTGTGGGTCAGGTGGGTGGTGTCACTGGGGTGTACCTGTGGGTCAGGTGGGTGGTGTCACTGGGGTGCAGGATCCTGCAGGTGGTGTAGGTGAAGGTGGAGAAGGTGGAGCTCTGACACTTCCCAGGGTTTTGCACTGAGAGAAGAATAATTGTATTTATTTTTAGAAATTACAATAAAATATCTATAAAAAGCTACTCACCTGAAGCCGCAGAGGTCGTCAGTGTGTCGTTATTCCATTGGCTGCTTGGAGCTGGAATGCTTGGAGCCGATTGGTTCTCTGCTTGGAGGTTAGTTTTTGGTACATTTAGTGAAAGAGGCGGGACAGGAAGTGGACACACAGGCGGCTTCCTCTCTCTTCTGTCAGACCTAACTTTGAAGGTGATCCCAGCCTCTTCCTCCTCCTGCTCCTCCTGGTCCTTGCCCTGCTCTGTGGCTCCCTTCTCCACCACACTCGCACTCCGGTCCTGGTCCTGGTCCTCCTCCATGTCGCGGGTCAGAGGACGGAAACCTTTTGTGACGATCCCAGGGTGAGGATCCAAAATGGTGGCCAGGTGTGGCTTGGCGAGCTGCTGCCAGTGGTGCAGCGTCAGAGACCCTGAAAACACACTTTACCTCCTCAGGAAAAATAGGGAACCCAGCTTTAAAATTATATCTGAGTTTTCAAACATATGGACACATATAGCCACTCAGACTCGGACCCAGACCCAGACTCAGACTCAGACTGTCTTAATGAGGTCATGTGACTGTGGTCATAATGAGGTCATGTGACTGTGGTCATAATGAGGTCATGTGACCGCTGTAGTTATCCTGAGGTCATGTGACGTTACCTTCCATGGGTTTGACGATCTGCAGTTTCTCTGGGAGGAAGGTCTTGAAGAGTGAGGAGCTGGAGGAGAGCTCTGAGAGGTTGGAGAAGGAAGAGAAGAGGCTGCCCATGGGGGAGGAGCAGGTGTCTCCATCGCCCCCTGCTGTTCGGAGCTTCTCCCTCTCACTCTGGAAGAACTGTCTCTCACACAGGAAGTTGTGCCTCCTCAGGGACAGTCTGTGCAGAGCTTTGGCCAAATCATTTCCTCCTGGAGCTCCAGGCCTCCCCATCGTCACCTCCTCTCTGCAACAACAGCTGTGTAAGACACCTGCGTACCTGTGTCAGGCATACAGGTGGCTAATGCTAACGCTAATGCTACCGCTAATGCTAATGCTAACGCTAATGCTAATACTACTGCTACAAGAGCCTGGACTCACGGGGAGCAGAAGGGCTGGGAGGTCATCACCAGGGAGCTGCCGGAGCCGGGGATGGGGGGCCCGGCTGGGGGGGGTCTGGAGGACGCTGCTGTATTCAAAGAACGAACCGTCTGGAAAACACGCTTCTGGGAAACTCTACAGAAGCACAGCCTTTATTATGATATACATATATACATGTGTACCTTTGTCCCAATGTATATATGACCTTATATATGTACCTTTGTCCCCATGTGAATATGTACCTTTGTCCCCATGTATGTATGTACCTTTGATCTCATGTGTATATGTACCTTTGATCTCAAGGGTATATGTACCTTTGATCTCATGTGTATATGTACCTTTGATCTCATGTGTATATGTACCTTTGATCTCATGTGTATATGTACCTTTGATCTCATGTGTATATGTACCTTTGATCTTCAAAAGCAGATTCCTCATCAAAGCTCATCTCTCGCCTCATGGTGCCTTCGATTTCAGCAGCTAAAGAATCCTGAAGAACACAGTTCACTTTAGACTTAGAGGAGCACCTCCTGCAGGAGGACCAGAGAGGAGCACCTCCTGCAGGAGGATCAGAGAGGAGCACCTCCTGCAGGAGGATCAGAGAGGAGCACCTCCTGCAGGAGGATCAGAGAGGAGCACCTCCTGCAGGAGGATCAGAGAGAAGCACCTCCTGCAGGAGGATCAGAGAGAAGCACCTCCTGCAGGAGGATCAGAGAGGAGCAGCACCTGCAGGAGGATCAGAGAGGAGCAGCACCTGCAGGAGGATCAGGACCACAGTGTCACCTGGTCTTACCATGGGGTATAGTCCGTGTCACCTGGTCTTACCATGGGGTATAATCCGTGTCACCTGGTTTTACCGTGGGGTATAATCCGTGTCACCTGGTTTTACCGTGGGGTATAGTCCGTGTCACCTGGTCTTACCATGGGGTATAGTCCGTGTCACCTGGTCTTACCGTGGGGTATAGTCCGTGTCACCTGGTTTTACCGTGGGGTATAGTCCGTGTCACCTGGTCTTACCGTGGGGTATAGTCCGTGTCACCTGGTCTTACCGTGGGGTATAGTCCGTGTCACCTGGTCTTACCGTGGGGTATAGTCCGTGTCACCTGGTCTTACCGTGGGGTATAGTCCGTGTCACCTGGTCTTACCGTGGGGTATAGTCCGTGTCACCTGGTCTTACCGTGGGGTATAGTCCGTGTCACCTGGTCTTACCGTGGGGTATAATCCGTGTCACCTGGTCTTACCATGGGGTATAGTCCGTGTCATCTGGTCTTACCGTGGGGTATAGTACGTGGCACATGTGTCACCTGGTCTTACCATGGGGTATAATCCGTGTCTCCTTGTCTTACCGTGGGGTATAGTCCGTGTCACCTGGTCTTACCGTGGGGTATAGTCCGTGTCACCTGGTCTTACCGTGGGGTATAGTCCGTGTCACCTGGTCTTACCGTGGGGTATAGTCCGTGTCACCTGGTCTTACCGTGGGGTATAATCCGTGTCACCTGGTCTTACCATGGGGTATAGTCCGTGTCATCTGGTCTTACCGTGGGGTATAGTCCGTGGCACATGTGTCACCTGGTCTTACCGTGGGGTATAGTCCGTGTCACCTGGTCTTACCGTGGGGTATAGTCCGTGTCACCTGGTCTTACCGTGGGGTATAGTCCGTGTCACCTGGTCTTACCGTGGGGTATAGTCCGTGTCACCTGGTCTTACCGTGGGGTATAATCCGTGTCACCTGGTCTTACCATGGGGTATAGTCCGTGTCATCTGGTCTTACCGTGGGGTATAGTCCGTGGCACATGTGTCACCTGGTCTTACCGTGGGGTATAGTCCGTGTCACCTGGTCTTACCGTGGGGTATAGTCCGTGTCACCTGGTCTTACCGTGGGGTATAGTCCGTGTCACCTGGTCTTACCGTGGGGTATAATCCGTGTCACCTGGTCTTACCATGGGGTATAGTCCGTGGACCATGTGGCGCCTCATCCCAAAGAACGGAGAGCTTCTGTTTCTCAGGTCCCTGATTTCTTCTTGTGATTCATGGAACATTTCCAAACACTCTGCGTTTCTCTCGGTCACTTCATTCAGCTGCGATCACATGTTAATAACATTAATAACATTAATCATATGAATATTAATGACATGAATAATATTAATAATATCAAAAGCGTGAATAGCATGAATAACATTAATATTATCAATAACAGTAACACTGTGATTGACAGGTGTCAGTACCTCTGCGGTCAGTTGTCTCTGAGCGTCCTTTGAAGCCAGTAAGTGGATCCTCAGTTCTTCTTTCTCTAAAGCCAACTGTGACGAGAACATTATAACGAGGCATATATTACTATATATATATATTGTATATAGCATATACAGTGCCTTGCGAAAGTATTCGGCCCCTTTTTAACAAATAAAAAACTGAAAAGTGGGGCGTGCAATATTATTGGGCCCCTTTACTTTCAGTGCAGCAAACTCAGTCCAGAAGTTCAGTGAGGATCTTTGAATGATCCAATGTTGTCCTAAATGACTGATGATGATACAGTAGGTCCCATTTCGTTTTGTCGTCTTCATTCACGCTTTTCATGAATCACGCAGCTGCGTGAAACATATTACATCTTATCGCCACAAGGTGGCAGGTTAAGTCCGCTTTAGCTCTGCCAGCGACTTAAACGCTCAGGTATAAGTCTGCGTGCAAACGTTATCTGCCTAGTGATATTATGTTGGCCGAATGGTTAGCGTTTCAGGTTAGGATTCAGGGGGTCTGGGTTCGATTCTTGTCTGAGGCAATTTTGGTTGCACACCTTTTGGTTGCTTGTGTGCAATTACGTAACGTTATCAGCTTGTTATCTTCTTTCCTTGTCAAAAGGATTTGTTGCTCACTTCGGGCCTATCAAAACGCGGTTTAAAGTCAAAGGATTGACTCTGTAAAACACTGTACTAACTTACTGCACTGTATTGTAAGTACTGTAACAATACAATTGTATTTTACTTTATTACTTATTTTTACTTCTTATTTTTTAATAAAAACACTTCTTCTCAAAAGTTCCTTTCTGACTTCTTCTACAGTATGGGATAGCCAGCAGCAAGTGCGTTATTGAACGTGAAACATTGGAACAAAACAAACACGAGTGTACACTGTATTCTGAATACTTTTACTTTGATTAGCAATATATAGGCTGTGTATAATTACAAAAATGTAAACTACACATGTTACATATAGCTACCATTATCTAGGAATTCTAAAATGCACAGGAGTACCATACAATCTTTTTTGCCCAAGATTTTTCTGCAGAAACCATGAAGAAACGCAGCCAGTTCAACGCGGTGAAAAAGCAGTTCCTTGAAGCTGGATCTTTTCGGGGATTCCAGCTACAACCATGTAAGAAGCGGATCTTCCACAACGGGAAGATTGTCACTTTCTCTTCACCAGAAGAAGCTGAGAACTTTCTGCATAAGTAACTTATATTCTTCTTCAATACTTTGGAGTAAAGGTAATCTCAAGTACTTCTCTGGACAAAATCGGGATATTGTTTGAATCGAATGGTTTTGAAAATAGTTATTATTTGTCTTTGATGGTAATTATTTACCTTCTAATTTTATTTGTGCCTTATATACTGCATTTGGCGGAGATTTTACGTTATAATTATATTTGTATTATTGCTGGGACATTATTAACCCATGTGAGGAGTTGTGGGGGTGCCAGTTTGGGCTTTTTCAGGGATGACTCTCCACAGTTCAGTCACTCCTCCTCTGTGTGGATTGACATCAGCCCTAACACTGTTCAGTTTAAGTAAGGGATTGGGATCAGGGGATTGTTTTTTTATGTTTTGTTTGTTTTTTTATTTATGTTTTGTTCAATATCGCACTCAAAATTGCATTGCATTTAAATTTCTGGAAGATTCAAAATGTCAGACTTGATAATTACTAGCTGGAATGTCCGGGGGCTCAATAGGCTTTCAAAGTTGAAACAAGTTATGAACAGACTTAAAAGCTTAAACTCTAAAATATTCTTTTTCCAAGAAACTCATATTACCAGCTTAGAAATTGAACGGGTACGTCGCAGATGGCCGGGTCAAGTTGTCTATGCAAATTACAATAATTATGCAAGGGGAGTTTTAATTCTCATTCACAAAACAATACCTTTTCAGCTCAACAAGACCATTCAAGATCCTCAAGGAAGGTATGTTATTGCTCAGGGGCATATGTGCTCTCTTGAATTGAATTTGGTGTGTGTGTATGGCCCTAATGAGGACAATCCAAAGTTTTTTGATGAATTATTTTTAACGGTGTCCTCATTGAATGGTATATATATTATCGGCGGGGATTTTAATTACACATTGAATCCACTTCTGGACCGTTCTTCAAAATTAGACCCCCAAAAACAAAAATGTAGAAAAAATATAATGCAATATATGGCTGATTTGAATTTAACAGAGATTTGGAGAAAACTCCATCCAAAAAAACTAGAATATTCATGTTATTCTGGATTAAACAAATCCAGATCCCGCATTGATTACTTTTTGGTGTCGCAAGAATTGTTATCAAAAGTGACTAATTGTTGGTATGAATGTTTAGTTATTAGTGACCACTCCAACGTCCTTGTCTGTACAGATTAACAAACTTTCACGCCCCACCTTCAATTGGCGTTTACAAGTGAGATGGCTACAAAACAAAGATTTTTTAAAATATGTGGAAGAAAGAATCAAAATCTTTTTTGAGATTAATACAGAACAAACTAATGCATGTGTTCGGTGGGAAGCATTCAAAGCTTACATAAGAGGGGTGATAATTAGTTTTGTTTCTACAAAACATAAAATTGAAAGGGAAGACATTGCAAATTTAGAAAACCAAATTAAATTATTAGAAATTGACTCAAATGAGAACAATGATCCTGGAAAACAAAAACAATTACTTGTCCTAAGGACAGAATAAACTAACAGCCGAAAAGGCTGCAAAAAGTCTACTATGGCTCAAGCAAAATTTTTACGACCAGGGGGAAAAAGCTGGTAAGCTCTTGGCATGGAGAATTAAACAAATAGAATCAGAAAAGGCCATGAAGCCAATAATTCCCTTTGGCTGGCGTGTCCACAATTTGGTACAGAAATCAGACTAAAGATTCTTCAAGGTTAACATCTGCATTTAATTATCTTTACAATCAGATACAGAATATTCAACAAAAAAGTGCTCCTAAACTAATATGTCCCTCTCCTCTACCCCTGCGCTAACCTTCCCCCCAGAACTCAAACCAACAGTTTTATCAAGACGTCTGATGACGTCACTTGTGGGCGTCTCCCGAATGTTCTTTTCGGGTGTGCTGGCGTCCCGTGTCCACTGGGAGGCGTCAGAATGCCTTTGGAGAATCTCCCAGTCTGCCTGAGAGATGGTGTTTTTTGGACTTTTGGCCTCGCCAGAGAGACAAGAATGTTTATTCCTGGAGTTAATAATTTGTCCCGTTTTGAAAGTTGGTATCTCTATGACTGATTGTAGTTTCTCCCTTTGACCCTCTTTATTCCTGTTTGCAATCCTTGTCCTTGGGGCTTTTCCCCGTGCACATTCTTCAGAGGGCCTATTTTCAAAATCATTAGTATACAACATTTTAATTATGCAACAGTTTCCCTCTTTTGACCTGATTAAAAATCAGGTCACAATCCACATCGTCGTTTATCATCAATACTTGTGCTTAGTTCCGGCTTGATATCTGTGAAGAGTTAATACAGAAAGAATACACACACAACCACATTCGAAACATTCCTTCACAAAACTCTTTGATGACCACCGCTGTGTCATTCTGATTCTTCATCATTAATCAAATTGGGTATTATCGTTACAGGAGCTAATCTATTTTAGCAGGTTTCTCTGGGGTCAGTCCCTATACAACGGTATTTTGATTCTCTAATCTGTTGCTGACAAATCGACAGCTCTTAAAATTCTCAAAAATACCTAAAGATCTACTTTTGTGCTATACCCAAATTCACCAAAATGCTTTTAAATGTTTTTGAATCTTTGTTGGTTCTAATCTATCTCATTAATCTAAGCTACATTAATCTAGGCTACACTCATGAACTTTATCTACTTTTGAAGTAACTACTTTTGGACATAATATGAAGGAAATGGTCTTTTTACCGTTTGATATTAACCCTGTCTAAAAATAATCTCTATTTTTTTTTTTTTTTTTTTTTTGAAAGCATCTATCTATTTTACACTCTATTGTGACTCCAAATCTTGGTTGTAGTTTGAGCCAAAGCATATTCCCAATTTTTGAGTTCTGATTGTAACAATTGCATTGGCAATAGATGATTTTTCATTGGCTGGTTCTTGTTCTGCAAATCACTATTCTATGTATTGTATTTCAGACAATTCCAAAAACAACACAGTCGTTCTCCAATATTAAAGACATACATCTAAATCAAGTTGCCTGAAAGGGATTTTAACTATTTTAAAACGTTCTCTACGATTATAAGGCTATGCATTTAATTATTTAATAAACAAAAGCACATTCATGGCTTCTGTCCGCTGCTTATAACTGTTTAAAGACTTGTCCCAAACTTAATATGTGTAAATACATCAGCTGTTTGTAATAAACAATAACATTTAACCTGTTCTCCAATGGAGCAGCTCAGAGGCTGCGTCAAGAGCAATGTTATATTTGAGCTATTTTTAGATTTAAAATTGTGTTAAAGCCTGTCGTTCTATGTCTGCATTTTAATACTACTCTCTATAAACACCTCTGCACCAGTTCCTACAGATGTGGAAAACAGAAAACATCTAAAATCTGACTCCATTTGATTCCTTTTTACTTTAGTTATTAGAACAATTTGACCTTATTGATACTTATTTCCACAATAGAACTATTTTGATTATTCACTAGTCTAACTATTATTACTATTGTTTATTCTGACACCTCTTCCTAGCGACCTTTCAACCTATAGCTCCTCGAATCCAATGACATTATAGCTCCAGACTATTTCATTCTATTCTATTATTATCTTATTATTATATGATCTATTATCTTAAAGAGTAGATCTGTTTGATGTTATAAGCGCTATTATTTCTCCTTTTAAATTTGCACAACACTAAATTTAGAATGACCCCCTATGGGACAAATATAGAATTTTATTTCATTTTGGCAACTCCGAAAATTACTTAATAATTTTCCCATTTTGCTTTTTTAGGCTGCCCTTTCTATTATTTATTTGTTCTTGTAAATATATGTTTTACACTTCTTTCTAATGATTTAGAAGGTTAAGGACCATGACCACCTATGACAATACAATACTCCCCTCTGTTGGTCGTGGTCCAAAGTATAAAACATGCATCTGTATGTGTGTGTAGATTACTGTTCCAATCCTGTTGTTCCTCCCGGATCGTCCTCAATTCATATTGTGGGCTTTGGTGCCAAAGTAGAGGCTCATTTCCTTATGATCCATACTACTGTGTTATCCCTGAAGCAGGTGCAGTTTATCTTTCATCTGAAAAACAAACATTAGAACACAAGAAACGCCCACTTCCCTCTCTTCGCATGGTGCAGCCTGTCAATCAATCCAATTGGGCAAAACATAACTGCATTGACAGACGGTGTGTGGCATCAGGGCAGAGGCTGTAGCCAAATACAGACTTAACAATATGTATGTTTCTAATTTTATACTCCCCTAAATGTGAATTACAAACCAAAGTTGTCCTCCGCCCAATGACCGCTCACTGCGGTTGGACCGAATCCCTGTCCGGACAAACAGCAGAGGGAGGGGCTCCCAGTACCTTCAGCAAGGTATTCATCTCAGAGTACTTTCTCAGAGTACTTTTCTCAGAGTACTCATCCCAGAGTACTCTCACTTTTACACCTGTTCAATAAAGCTTGTCATCTTTGAATCTCTAGTACTTACACCGTATGCTGTTGACAAAAAATAATTATTCCATGATCACATTAAAACATTACAGAAAACTTTTGTTATTCCATGATTCCGTTCAGCACTCCTCGTTCACTCCCCAACACACTCACAACACCCCACGTTAGTATTGGTCCAGTTTGTTAAGGTCAACGTAGTGTACTTTGACATGACGCACAAACATATAACATACACAAACATATAACATACACAAACATATAACACGCACAAACATATAACATACACAAACATATAACATACACAAACATATAACATACACAAACATATAACATACACAAGAGGCCTGTAATTTTAACTTTGTTATATTTTTCCCATGTCCAATTACAATTGTCTCATGAGCTATTTTATAGTTGCAACTTTCAGAGCCTGCAAAATATGCAGAGCTTTTAATAGATTTTTCCTACAAGGATCCATTTCAAACTTTAGTGTTTAAACCACGTGGTCTTTACTCGGGCTTGTCACAAACTGTGTCCCCTATATTTTTAATGAGCTCTTGTTACTTAAAAAAAAACTCATGCACGTGCAATAAATGTTTTTCCCTTTTTTTTTAAAGCCAGTTCGGATTCCTTAAAAATGTAAATTAGTTTCAAACTTTAATACTTCACCTTTGTTTCACGTTCATGTGGAGAAAAGACCATTGTTTTATGTGTGTGTACTTGCGCCAATCATGTCTCAGATAAACTGCCAACAGTTGTATCAAAGACATAATTGTCCTAATTGTTTCTAATTTAGCTATTTGGAAGAGAAACATGTCATAAAAGATTTCATAAAATGTCCCTACATCTTTGTTTTCAACCAATGAACAGTGTTGCGTCTATGTGTGTTATCAGAAAATGAAATCCTTTAAAATCATCAAACCTTTAATTGCTGAACAAAACCATTTTGAAAATGCTGCAACGTCCATTAAAAGCTGCAGTTCTCTTTCTAGCACCAGTTTCAAACTGTGCATGTGACTGTTTTTAAATGAGAAACGAGCCACGGTTCAAAGGTTGAAAACACTGCTTTAAATATCCGTATTACCAAGATCATGCAGTTAAAATCAATAATTCTAAACTTCTCCGCGTCTATAACTTTAAATAATACTAGTTTCAATAATAGAGCTCCTCTACTTTAAATATACTGCTGTTCTAATCTCCTTGTGTCTCATGCTAAAGCAAGAGTCTAATTAATTTTAACGATTGTCCTGTATTCTTTCATGCAGCTAAATGTGGTGTTATGAACGAATGACCTAAATGTGTAAATATGACTTAATATGTCTCTGTGCGTTTGTTGTCTGTCTGTATATTTACCTTCTGTGTGTCTCATTTAGGCCAGCCACGTCTCAAATGTCCGTTAATGTCTTTCTTTTACTCATGGCGTCTTTCAATGTCTTTTGTCTCATAGTGTCCAATGTCTTTGTCTCCATGTCTTTTTCCTTCTTCTTTAAACAATCACTTTCTTTCTTCTTCCGATAACTCTTTCTCACAATGTCTTTCTTCTTCTTTCAACAATCACTTTCTTTCTTCTTCCGATAACTCTTTCTCATAATGTCTTTCTTCTTCTTTCAACAATCACTTTCTTTCTTCTTCCGATAACTTTTCCTCATAATGTCTTTCTTCTTCTTTCAACAATCACTTTCTTTCTTCTTCCGATAACTCTTTCTCACAATGTCTTTCTTCTTCTTTCAACAATCACTTTCTTTCTTCTTTCCGATAACTTTTCCTCATAATGTCTTTCTTCTTCTTTCATATCTGACGCACCCAAATGTGTCGTGTCCTTCTTCTTCTTGTTTGGTTTTCCGGCGGTTGGCGGCCTATTCTTCGCATTACCGCCACCTTCTGTTTCGTAGATGGGACAACACTCAGTTTGTGAAAAAGTCTGCGGTCTTTTTCTTTGCCTCCTCACAGGCAGGAGAAGTCTTCTTCGAGAGTTCCTGTTAGCTGCTGCAGCCGATGCTGCCCCCTGCGACCCGCAGGGAGAGGGGGAGACGCTGATGATGATGATGATGATGCTCGGTTTGTGGTTTGTGGCAGGGACGATTTTGGCCAAATGAAACAGACAGAAGTTTTCTCGGAAAAAACAGACAAACAAGAAACACAAACAAGTGTGTTAATTACCATACCAAACCAATGATTAATTACAATTCAAAATAAACCTATGAAATAATTACTATTAACATTTTAAACATTAAATTCTGAAAACCAAATCTGCATTCAACTACTATCCTAAGCCCTATTTTTTCCAAAAGTATAATGCTCTCTAAGATCATTCTAACTTTTATATCACACAAAATGTAGGGAAAAAAAAACTTGTCTAGACGCCTTGGAGATAAAAAATAAAATAATGCCTCTTTATAATCTAGCTCAAAGTTCTGTGATCCTATGACTCCATGTCAGTAACATTATCGTGTGTATATAAAATGTAATTTTCTACAAAAAAATTCTTTCTTCACGAGAGAGAGAGAGAGAGAGAGAGAGAGAGAGAGAGAGAGAGAGAGAGAGAGAGAGAGAGAGAGAGAGGGGAAGAGAGAGAGGACAGAACGAGGGAGGGGAGGGGCCTCCCGAACAAAGGAAGCATGGAGTCAAATACTTTTCTCGTTTTTTTTTTTCGTGACAAGGTTCTAAATCAGTGGTAAAAGTTTTTCTCACGTCAAACGACACTTTACATTTTATCCTTAAATACGTCAGTAAATGGAAAACATTACTATTTGCTACCTGATTAATGTATCGAGGGTTCCAGCAGAATTACTTTTTTTTTTTTTCCCTGATTCTCTGTAACTATCGAAACATTACATCAGAATACAAGAGAAAAACTCCCAGACTGATCTTTTGTCATTTCTTCACATGAAAAACTCGTATACTACAGCCAAGTGGCTCCTTCCTTTCTCATTAATCAGATCATTATTATCAGAATCCACATTTTAAATACTTGGCTTTTTTCTGTTTAAATGTACCCTTTTTTTCCGCCCCCCGGGGGATATGGAGTTTTTATTATCCTATCACTTCTGACCCTATACTGCCCCTATTTCTCTAATCCTATTTATCTAAACTCTTGTGCCTCTTTTGCACCTTAAAACGGTGTGCCTCTTTTGCACTTCTAAATCCTGTGGCTCTCTTCCTGTATATTCTTTTTTAGAGAGAGACCAGCATCCCCCCAAAGCGGTTCAAGAAACGTCGAAAAAACCTGACTATTGGTTCTAAGTCTCGCACGTCCGAGGTCGACACGCCCGTCACGGCGGGGGTCTGGCCACGCTGCAGTCATGCTGAGGCCTGAGATCCTCTCTCTCTTCTATTTAAAACAATTGTGCAGACTTTAGAAATGGTATTCTTGTCTTACCTGTGTTTTTGCAGTAGAGAGAGCCCCAAGACCCAACAGACCCAGTCTAGTCTATCTGAGCTCATACTTGGTCTTTCCTTCTGTATCAAAATCACGTCGTCGTGGTCACCAAATTGAAGCAATAATTCCCCTTTGGCTGGCGTGTCCACCAATTTGATTTGCTTACAGAAACTCAGACCTAAAGATTCTTCCAAGGTTAACATCTGCATTTAATTATCTTTACAATCAGATACGAATATTCAACAAAAAAGTGCTCCTAAACTAATATGTCCCTCTCCTCTACCCCTGCGCTAACCTTCCCCCCAGAACTCAAACCAACAGTTTTATCAAGACGTCTGATGACTGAGGGTCCATTCAGGGCCTTTCTTGGGGCTTTGAGTGGAGTTTGCATGTTCTCCCCGTGTCTGCGTAGGTTTCCTCCGGGTTCTCCGGTTTCCCCTACCACTAAAAATATGTACAATAGATCTGGCATGCGCCTCCTGTACTGGCCCCTCCCATCTCTGTGGAGTGTGAGGACAAGTGCCCAAAAAATAACAATTGTAAACCGCTTTAAGACTCTGGTCTGTGAAAGGCGGTATATATAAATGAAGATTACTTACTTACACATGTCTGCCAGAATAATCCCATTGGAATCATTACTAACTTTTCCAAGGGAGTTCTTAAACATTTGTAGATTGTCATTCTAATATAATGCCAAATAGTTTTTCCTCTTTTTTTAAATCCTGGCGATCATCTTAGTGTCATTCAATTTCATTTGTGTTTTCTCTTGTTTTCCAGCATCCAGAGAGAGAGGAGTCCCAGCCCTCCTGTTCACAATCCTCCAACTCCTCAGTCCACAGACAGTCAGCCTGCGCTCAGTGACGTGTCCACCACACCCACCACCACCACCGCCACTGCTGCTGCTGCTTCTGCTGCCAACCCCACCCCCAAACGCAGGAGGCACCCAGACACCGACTGCATCAACTTCCAGAGCCAGAGCTTAAGACGATCCACCAGGAACTCTTCCGGAGGAGAGCGTCCAGCAGAGGGCAGCAGTGGAGGCTATCACAGCTCAGGTTCACCACACTATAATATTATAGTATGTGACTGTGGTACTGTGCCGTGCGATGGTCCTTGCTCATGGTACTGTGCCGTGTGATGGTCCTTGCTCATGGTACTAAACTATGTGTTTCAGGAGGGGGCAGTGCCACAGCGTCTCCTCAGACTAAACGCAGAATCGCTGAGAGTCCAGCGCAGCCAAAGTTTTTCCTCAACCTCGAACGGAGTAAGTCACAACAGAAGTTTTTATTTGTTCTGCATAAAGAGATCGGCTCAATATATAATAATATTCTGAATGTGTAAGAACATAATATGTATTGTATAATAACATGGTGTATAATGACATAATATGTATAACAGAATGTATAATAACATAATATTCTGAATATTTAGGGATCTAGTGTTTTGAAACCTTTTTTAGACAATGATTTTATTCAACATTATTGTAGTAACCCTTTCCAACCAGTAGATGGTGCCAGTCCACTCCTTTACAGCTCACTGCACAGCTGCTGTTTGACTTCTAATCTCCCATCATGATATGCTCCATGCTCCTCCAGAGACTCCGGTCCACAGCGGCTCGTCCTCCCCACTGCCCTTGACACCGAACAAAGAGCGCAGCGGCCCCTTCTATGGTCTGGAGAGCCGACGAAACAACGAGCTCAACGAGGTCCTTACGCCACAGCAGCCACAGCAGCCACAGCAGCCACAGCAGCCACAGCAGCCACAGCAGCCACAGCAGCCACAGCAGCCACAGCAGCCACAGCAGCCACAGCAGCCGCAGCAGCCGCAGCAGCCGCAGCAGCCACAGCTGCCACAGTCGCCCTAACCCTAGCCTAACCCAGTCGAGCACAGTCTAAGCGGCGTCAGTATTACCCTGAATGTTAAACCTGAGGTCTTTTCTGTAGGCTCTGAATGAGTGAAGACAAAATACTTAGATAATTTCGTTCTAATATTGGACCGGGTCAGTCCGGCTTTATTCCAACACGCTCTCCTGCATTAAATCTGAACTCTCGTAAAAAGTATTCAGTTTGATAATGACGAGCTCTAAGGCTTCAAAGACATTACATTCTCCCACATGTTCTTGGATAACTGTAGTCTCACAGCTAATTTACACTGTAGGCGTTGACTGCGCGCATGTGTGCGTAACATTACTCTGCTGTATGTCCACTGGCTTCTGATGCTCTCCCTGTGTAGTCTATGGAGAAGTGTAGAGGACAGTACAGAGGACTGATGTAGAGCAACACAAATCACATGCACGTGTTTGTCTTCATGGTCTCTGTGCGCTGGTTTGGCCAAACGCTAGACTTTATGAATGAAAAAAAAAAAACAATGTCCAGAATCACAGTAAAACCTGATGCTCCAGCGTGCGTGCATGTGTGTGTGTGGATGCGATGTAAAGCCAAGGGCCGCTAGAATTATGTTTTGACTGAGAGACGCGTTGCTGCACGCACAAAATTAGAAATCCATCCTAAATTAGGCGCAGCCTCGCGTCATACGTTCTTCATACGTCCGACATAACACTAGTGTAAATATCCCCATTGGTTAACATGGAATAATGTTACGCGTGTCTTTTGCGCGTATAACGTGTACGTGCTGTAACGCCTCCTGTGGAAACTAGCAGTCAGGTTTAGAGATGGCTCGACGTCTGTAACATGTTCCTGAAGAATAATTATGATGATAATAATGATAATAATAATAACTGCTGCAGGTGTTGAGCTGGAAGTTGACTCCTGATAATTACCCCATGACCGACCAGCCTCCTCCTCCATCGTATCTCTATGGATCACAGCATCTGCTCCGGCTTTTTGGTTGGTTTTGAGCTTTATTGTAATGGTATTTTATAATATAAGGTCATTGATCTGACTATATTCTGTGAACAGTCAAACTTCCGGACATCCTCGGAAAGATGCAGATCCCAGAGAGGAATCTGAGGGCGCTCATCAAACACTTGGAGCAGTTTCTCAGGTAAAAACGAAATCCATTTTTATAGTAAATAGTATTAGTAGTAAGTAAAGTTTATTTATATAGCGACTTTCACATACCAGAGTCACAAAGCGGTTTTCAATTGTTATTTTTTGGGCATTAGTCTCTGACTCCACACAGAGATGGGAGGGGCCAGTACAGGAGGCACATACCTATGTTTTTAGTGGTAGAGAAAACTTATGCAGACGCAGGGAGAACATTCAAACTCCACTCAGAACGACCCTGTTCCGACCGGGATTCGAACCCAGGACATTCGAGAGTGCTAACCACTTGGCCACAGTGCCGCTTATCTTTTTATTTGAAAAAGACACGTTTTGGTACATCCCTTCTACAATAGTTTCATACCAGAGAGGGAGAGACGGCCCCAGAGAGAGAGGGAGAGACGGCCCCAGAGAGAGAGGGAGAGACGGCCCCAGAGAGAGAGGGAGAGACGGCCCCAGAGAGAGAGGGAGAGACGGCCCCAGAGAGAGAGGGTGAGACGGCCCCAGAGAGAGAGGAAGAGACGGCCCCAGAGAGAGAGGGTGAGACGGCCCCAGAGAGAGAGGGTGAGACGGCCCCAGAGAGAGAGGAAGAGACGGCCCCAGAGAGAGAGGGTGAGACGGCCCCAGAGAGAGAGGAAGAGACGGCCCCAGAGAGAGAGGGTGAGACGGCCCCAGAGAGAGAGGAAGAGACGGCCCCAGAGAGAGAGGAAGAGACGGCCCCAGAGAGAGAGGGAGAGACGGCCCCAGAGAGAGAGGGTGAGACGGCCCCAGAGAGAGAGGGAGAGACGGCCCCAGAGAGAGAGGGAGAGACGGCCCCAGAGAGAGAGGGTGAGACGGCCCCAGAGAGAGAGGGTGAGACGGCCCCAGAGAGAGAGGGTGAGACGGCCCCAGAGAGAGAGGGTGAGACGGCCCCAGAGAGAGAGGGTGAGACGGCCCCAGAGAGAGAGGAAGAGACGGCCCCAGAGAGAGAGGGTGAGACGGCCCCAGAGAGAGAGGAAGAGACGGCCCCAGAGAGAGAGGGTGAGACGGCCCCAGAGAGAGAGGAAGAGACGGCCCCAGAGAGAGAGGGGTGAGACGGCCCCAGAGAGAGAGGGTGAGACGGCCCCAGAGAGAGAGGGTGAGACGGCCCCAGAGAGAGAGGGTGAGACGGCCCCAGAGAGAGAGGAAGAGACGGCCCCAGAGAGAGAGGGTGAGACGGCCCCAGAGAGGGAGGGAGAGACGGCCCCAGAGAGGGAGGGAGAGACGGCCCCAGAGAGGGAGGGAGAGACGGCCCCAGAGAGAGAGGAAGAGACGGCCCCAGAGAGAGAGGGTGAGACGGCCCCAGAGAGAGAGGGTGAGACGGCCCCAGAGAGAGAGGAAGAGACGGCCCCAGAGAGAGAGGGTGAGACGGCCCCAGAGAGAGAGGAAGAGACGGCCCCAGAGAGAGAGGGTGAGACGGCCCCAGAGAGAGAGGGTGAGACGGCCCCAGAGAGAGAGGGTGAGAGACGGCCCCAGAGAGAGAGGGTGAGACGGCCCCAGAGAGAGAGGAAGAGACGGCCCCAGAGAGAGAGGGTGAGACGGCCCCAGAGAGGGAGGGAGAGACGGCCCCAGAGAGGGAGGGAGAGACGGCCCCAGAGAGAGGGAGGGAGAGACGGCCCCAGAGAGAGAGACCAGAGAGAGAGAGAGGAGCATGTGTCCGTGTGCAGTGATGAGTGTTACACAAGCTCGCGTCTAATCTCTAAATCCTCTGCAGCGATTTTCAGTTCAGTCCCAAACGCAGGGATTTAGGTCCACAGCCTCTAATCAAACATGTGCAGTACCACCACTGACCACCAGGCCGCGCTGTGGAACAGGGTGTCAGTGACAGAACGTGTGTTGCTGAAACTGAGATCAGTACTGTGAGACTGAAGAGTCACTTTCATTACATGCTAATGTCACATGCTAACCTCACATACACTACTGCATCTTTAACTGACACTACTGCATCTGTAACTGACACTACTGCATCTCTAACTGACACTACTGCATCTCTAACTGACACTACTGCATCTGTAACTGACACTACTGCATCTGTAACTGACACTACTGCATCTCTAACTGACACTACTGCATCTCTAACTGACACTACTGCATCTCTTAACTGACACTACTGCATCTCTAACTGACACTACTGCATCTAAGTTGTTGTATTCAGGTGACTTTATTTATTATTATTTATCATTAACATATTCATGACATGGACATAAATTCCAAAAAATGTTTTAGTTTAATGTTTTTGATTTTGAAATGTTTTTTACTGGATTCACTTTTAATGAAACCTCATTCTTTATATTTAAGCAGTCTCTAAAGTTAATTTATTACTAAGTTATGTTGTATTTCAGTTCATAATGAACTTTATGGATCCATGGTCACAGAGGCCGATGGTGTCTGCAGAGGCCGATGGTCACAGAAGGTGATGGTGTCTGCAGAGGCCGATGGTGTCTGCAGTCCATGGTCACAGAAGGTGATGGTGTCTGCAGTCCATGGTCACAGAGGGTGATGGTGTCTGCAGTCCATGGTCACAGAGGGTGATGGTGTCTGCAGTCCATGGTCACAGAAGGTGATGGTGTCTGCAGAGGCCGATGGTGTCTGCAGTCCATGGTCACAGAAGGTGATGGTGTCTGCAGAGGCCGATGGTGTCTGCAGTCCATGGTCACAGAGGGCGATGGTGTCTGCAGAGGCCGATGGTGTCTGCAGTCCATGGTCACAGAGGGTGATGGTGTCTGCAGAGGCCGATGGTGTCTGCAGTCCATGGTCACAGGGGGTGATGGTGTCTGCAGAGGCCGATGGTGTCTGCAGTCCATGGTCACAGAGGGTGATGGTGTCTGCAGAGGCCGATGGTGTCTGCAGTCCATGGTCACAGAAGGTGATGGTGTCTGCAGTCCATGGTCACAGAGGGTGATGGTGTCTGCAGTCCATGGTCACAGAGGGTGATGGTGTCTGCAGTCCATGGTCACAGAAGGTGATGGTGTCTGCAGAGGCCGATGGTGTCTGCAGTCCATGGTCACAGAAGGTGATGGTGTCTGCAGAGGCCGATGGTGTCTGCAGTCCATGGTCACAGAGGGCGATGGTGTCTGCAGAGGCCGATGGTGTCTGCAGTCCATGGTCACAGAGGGTGATGGTGTCTGCAGAGGCCGATGGTGTCTGCAGTCCATGGTCACAGAGGGTGATGGTGTCTGCAGAGGCCGATGGTGTCTGCAGTCCATGGTCACAGAGGGTGATGGTGTCTGCAGTCCATGGTCACAGAGGGTGATGGTGTCTGCAGTCCATGGTCACAGAGGGTGATGGTGTCTGCAGAGGCCGATGGTGTCTGCAGTCCATGGTCACAGAGGGTGATGGTGTCTGCAGTCCATGGTCACAGAGGGTGATGGTGTCTGCAGTCCATGGTCACAGAAGGTGATGGTGTCTGCAGTCCATGGTCACAGAAGGTGATGGTGTCTGCAGAGGCCGATGGTGTCTGCAGTCCATGGTCACAGAGGGTGATGGTGTCTGCAGTCCATGGTCACAGAATGTGATGGTGTCTGCAGTCCATGGTCACAGAAGGTGATGGTGTCTGCAGAGGCCGATGGTGTCTGCAGTCCATGGTCACAGAGGGTGATGGTGTCTGCAGTCCATGGTCACAGAAGGTGATGGTGTCTGCAGTCCATGGTCACAGAGGGCGATGGTGTCTGCAGTCGTTGATGGTGTCTGCAGAGGGCGATGGTGTCTGCAGTTGTTGATGGTGTCTGCAGTCGTTGATGGTGTCTGCAGAGGGCGATGGTGTCTGCAGTCGTTTATGGTGTCTGCAGTCGTTGGTGTCTGCAGAGGGCGATGGTGTCTGCAGTCGTTGATGGTGTCTGCAGAGGGCGATGGTGTCTGCAGTCGTTGATGGTGTCTGCAGTCGTTGATGGTGTCTGCAGTCGTTGATGGTGTCTGCAGTCGTTGATGGTGTCTGCATGGTGAAGTTTGTTTGCATTGAGATTAGGAAGAGCGGTGGAGCTAAGATGAGATGGCAAGATTTAGCGGATTTGTCCCAGTTGCGGATACTAAGAAGATCCAGGATTAGTTTGTCCTCACTACTGATTAGACTGAGCGGGGGCGGGGTGTGGTGGGGCTGCGTTGTGAGGGGTCAGGGGGCGGGGCATGAGGGTCAGGGGGCGGGGCATGCACATGATCCATACATCCCTCATACACTGCTCCAGAGGGTTTCATACTGTGGATCCAGGACAGCACAGTGGCTGAGTGGTTAGCACTCTCACCTCTCAGCAAGAAGGTCCTGGGTTCGAATCCCGGTCGGAAAGGGGTCTTTCTGAGTGGAGTTTGCATGTTCTCCCCATGCTTGCGTAGGTTTCCTGCGGGCGCTCCAGTTACCCCTACCACTAAAAACATGCACACTAGGTTAAATCCTCCAGCATCAACATCTGGAGATGGTTCCTGGGCGCTGTTACTACGGCGACCATTGCACGGCGACCACTGCTCCTGACGTCAGCCTTAGAGCATCAGGGTCAAATGCAGAGGATGAATAAAGTGCACCTTTACCTTTACCAGAACCCGAACCTAAGAAATCATGGACCAGACTCAAGGCCTTGAAAGCTTTAAGCTTTAAGCTTTAGGTTACGGCCGATGGTTGAATCTCGGATTCAGGAGGAGCAGTGTGGTTTTCGTCCCGGTCGTGGAACACTGGACCAGCTCTACACTCTCCATCGGATACTCGAGGGTTCATGGGAGTTTGCCCAACCTGTCCACATGTGCTTTGTGGATTTGGAGAAGGCGTTCGACCGTGTTCCCCGGGGTGTCCTTTGGGGGGTCCTCCGGGAGTACGGGGTCCGGGGTCCTCTGCTGAGGGCCATCCGGTCCCTGTATGACCGGAGTCAGAGCTGTGTTCGCATTGCCGGCAGTAAGTCAGACCTGTTCTCGGTGCATGTTGGACAGAATCTCTAGGCGCAGCCAGGGGTCGGAGGGGGTCCGGTTCAGAGACCACAGGATTTCATCTCTACTTTTTGCGGACAATGTTGTCCTGTTGGCTCCAACAAACCAGGACCTGCAACATGCACTGGGACGGTTTGCAGCCGAGTGTGAAGCGGCTGGGATGAGAATCAGCACCTCCAAATCTGAGGCCATGGTGCTCGACCGGAAAAAGGTGCCTTGCCCTCTCCGGGTGGGTGGAGAGGTCCTTCCTCAAGTGGAGGAGTTCAAGTATCTCAGGGTCTTGTTCACAAGTGAGGGAAGGATGGAGCGTGAGATTGACAGGCGGATCGGTGCAGCGTGCGCAGTGATGCGGTCGCTGTATCGGACCGTTGTGGTAAAGAGGGAGCAGCGTCTGCAGTCAGAGCTGTATCGGACCGTTGTGGTAAAGAAGGAGCAGCGTCTGCAGTCAGAGCTGTATCGGACCGTTGTGGTAAAGAGGGAGCAGCGTCTGCAGTCAGAGCTGTATCGGACCGTTGTGGTAAAGAGGGAGCTGAGCCGAAAGGCAAACCTCTCGATTTACCGGTCAATCTTCGTTCCCTCCCTCACCTATGGTCATGAGCTTTGGGTAATGACCGAAAGAACGAGATCGCGGATACAAGCGGTCGAAATGAGCTTCCTCCGCAGAGTGGCTGGGCGCTCCCTTAGAGATAGGGTGAGGAGCTCAGTCACACGGGAGGAGCTCGGAGTAGAGCCGCTGCTCCCTTAGAGATAGGGTGAGGAGCTCAGTCACACGGGAGGAGCTCGGAGTAGAGCCGCTGCTTCTCCACGTCGAGAGGAACCAGTTGAGGTGGCTCGGGCATCTGTTCCGGATGCCTCCTGGACGCCTTCCTGGGGAGGTGTTCCGGGCACGTCCCACCGGGAGGAGGCCCCAGGGAAGACCTAGGACACTGTCGCTGGAGGGACTATGTCTCTCAGCTGGCCTGGGAACGCCTTGGGGTCCCCCCGGACGAGCTGGAGGAAGTGTGTGTGGATAGGGAAGTCTGGGCGTCTCTGCTTAGACTGCTGCCCCCGCGACCCGGCAACGGATGAAGCGGAAGAAAATGGATGGATGGATAATATACTCTAACATTTTATTATGTTTCCTTGTTTTAATTTGTTTCAGTTTGATTCAAAGGCGTTCACACACTGAGGACTGAGGACTGAGGACTGATGATGACCAGATATTGTTTTGTTAGGAGCCTTAATAACACATGTACATTTCTTTTTACTCTCACCCTTATCCACCCCCCCATGCTCTCACCCCCCTCCCCCTGCTCTTACCCCCCCCCCCCCCCTCCCCTCTGGTCTGGTAGGTTTCTGGCAGAGTTCCATGAGGACTTTTTCACGGAGTCTGCGTATGTGTCGGCCTCTGAGGCTCACTACAGCATGAAGCAACCCCGACCCATTTACTGAAGCATTTGTTTAACTCTATTCTACTCTCTTGTCTCCACTGCCCATGATGCTTGGACCCAAATGTCTCTGAGAGCTGGATGTGTCGCTGCGTTCCTCTCTGGCTTGTTTCTCTTGTTGACTTTTTGGGAAATGTCTACAACGATGACAACAAAACTGGATCGAAGGACGACGCTACGACTTCTACGATACTCTGTCTTTGTTTGGACCTCGGCCTCTGGACGTGCGAGCGTGATCTCGAAGGCGACAATAAGGAACAATTTAACAAATTAATCGGGATTGCTCTGATAGTGGCTCTTAGGCTAGGCTAGCAAACACTTAGCTTCCTTCACTAAAGGCTTTTCCATTTTCCAAGCATTTAAAACTATAAATGCTATATTTTTTAACTTTGTTCAATTTCCAAAGCATGTTTTGTGTCGTAAGATCTATTTAATTATAATTGTTACTCATGGTATAATTGTAACTAACAATAGAGACCGATAAACTCTTAAGTTCCTTGTGCTTATGAATGTGTGAATATCAATCACTTGAATAGGAAAGTTTTGGGAACATGTTATTTCACTGACTTAGTTTTAAGAGTATTTTTGTCAATAAAAATATTTTAGTTTCAAGGTGCTGCATGTTGATTGCATCCTGCTCTTGTGACGTTAAAGGTGTTTGTTTGTGTTCAGTGCTGTACCAGAACAGTCTGCTATAGTTCTGTTTGACTGTAAAGACTGTTACTAATAACGAGGCACTAATGAAGAATGAACAGAAGAAAAGCAGCCGTAACTGTCTTCACTGAATCCATTTAAAGTTGTTTTTGAGCTACAGTCCACTCCTCACTCAGGAAGCGCTGGCGCCCGGGGGAAGCCGGCACTTTTCTCGGGTGAATGAAATCAAATTAAGACTTTTCTTCCTGTCTGAGCTGCAAGTTTAGAAATGGACACGTTATAAAAGCACAATGTTAGGGAACCAAGAAGATCTACAGTGTTCTGAACCCTGTTCTAACCCTAACACCCAGGTCTGCTCCACCTCCTCCACCTCCTCCTCCATCACACACTCCATCGTCAACACCCAGGTCTGCTCCACCCATGGATCTATTATAATAACTGGATAGGGTATTACAGCTTGTAGCTGAATAACCCATGTGCTCAGGGGATTCTCGCGGTACTGCAGACTGAACCAGACTGAACCAGACTAAATTCACGTGGGCTACCCAGAAATGTTCCCCATAGAACTCAATGCATATTAAAGCAGCTCAACCTCAGCTGACAGAGAACCTACAGCTTTCACAAAGGTCAGATTTAGTGGGGATTTTAGTGTCCCTTGTCATCCTGAACTTTTTTTCTTCTTAAATCCTTCGGTTTTGTTTAAATCCACACTTTAGTGCCACAAACTCTGCTCGTCTGGCTCTGGCTCTAACTCCCGCTCTGATGAACTGCTCTGATTGGTCAGAGCGGCCGAGCCCCTCTGTGCACGTGCGTGAGACCCGGTGTGAGACCCACACACACGTGTTTGGCGCAATGCATTATGGGAGATCATCCACTGCACAGAACCGGGAGGACCAGACGATGCCCAAATACAGAAGAGTTTCCCATAGACCTTTGAGAGTTTCCCATAGACCTTTGAGAGTTTCCCATAGACCTTTGAGAGTTTCCCATAGACCTTTGAGAGTTTCTCATAGATCTTTGAGAGTTTCTCATAGATCTTTGAGAGTTTCTCATAGATCTTTGAGAGTTTCCCATAGATCTTTGAGAGTTTCCCATAGATCTTTGAGAGTTTCCCATAGATCTTTGAGAGTTTCCCATAGATCTATGAGAGTTTCCCATAGATCTTTGAGAGTTTCCCATAGATCTTTGAGAGTTTCCCATAGATCTTTGAGAGTTTCCCATAGATCTTTGAGAGTTTCCCATAGATCTTTGAGAGTTTCAGGCGACTTCCGCTAATCTTTCAGCCCCCATGCCGTCACAAAGCGCCACTGAGCACAACCATTCATTTGAATAGGGCGCCATCTTGGATCGCCGGGGCTTAGCTCCACCTCCTCCTCCATCACACACTCCATCGTCAACACCCAGGTCTGCTCCACCTCCTGGGTTAGGGAGTCACTATTTGACACTTCGGGCAGAGAGTCAAAAATACCACAATACATGTGGAAACTAGAACCAAACTGCAGAGAAAGGCTGCGGAGATTTTACTGCATAGTTTCATGTTTTGGGGTTTGAAAGCTCGGTACCCCAACTTTAACTGCTAAATGTTTTTGACCCCGCTCGACTCGACTGCTGCATCTGCAACAGTCCTCTGTTTAAGAAGACGTGACTATTGTATTGTTCTTGGTCTCATTCTTTCCCCATTGACACATGATGAAGCTGTAATACTGTCTCCCATATTCCTGTCTATCACCAGCTGTATCTGTGGCCAGTAAGTGGTTTTAGCTGTTAGTCATAATGTTATTAGTGTCATGAACTCCTTATCACTGCAACCCGATCCTCCGCTGCAGACCGTATCACACACTTTACTGTCCACGCTGCCTTTCGCCGCCTTTCGCCGCCTCACGCTGCCTCACGCTGCCTCACGCCTCTCCACATCGATTACCTGTTTCCCCTTTATCCAATTGTGGTCTGGAAAAGTGCAATAATCTGATGTCCGCTACCACCTCCATAAGTGTCTCTGTACATGAAGCTTTTAGCCTATTTGAATGCACTCTTAGCTCAAATTTGATTGGTCCACTCTACAGACTTTCTTAAACTTTGATTGGCTGTACCGTCCATATCTTCAAACTAATAAGTATATTCTCTCAGTCTCTTCTGAGCGTGTCCAACTGTCATGTCCAATGTTTAACTTCGGTTCAATCAAGACGTCTCTGTCTTTTTCTTCACCAGATTTGTCGTCACCGACGAAGCCTTTCTCAGCGTTAGCTCGCCATGCGTCTCTCTTCTCCTGTTTTTACCCCAGATTCTCATCCCTGTCTTGTAATCAGGACTTCAAGGGCTTGCGAGAGGTGAGGTTGGACAGTCCCTCTGGCTCCTCCAACTCCTCGTGGTCCTCGTCCATATTTCCCAGCTCAGAAATTACTTCCATTAGTTCGGAGCAGATTCTGACGCCTCTGTCCACATGGAACCAGCCTCTGTCCACATGGAACCAGCCTCTGTCCACATGGAACCAGCCGCTGTCCACATGGAACCAGCCTCTGTCCACATGGAACCAGCCTCTGTCCACATGGAACCAGCCGCTGGAGCAGGACGCTACAGGAGCCGGCGAGGACAAGATGGTTTGGAAGGAGACGTCCTTTCTGGGCAATGAAGGGTAA